GTTAAACCAAAACAATTTTTTTTTAGTAGCGTAGCACTAGCACTACAACGGGACCCGCAGGCGTCCGGATGATCTCATCGTCGTGGCGCGAGACTTGAACCCTTGACGGTCTGGTGCACCCGCTCAGCGTACCCTCAGAGCGACGTCGGAATAAAGAGGGGCCAGTCATAACAATCTCAACTTGACGAAGAAAATAAAAAAAAAGGAGGAAAGTTTGTTATAAAAGACTCTCCTTCCCGAGGCAAACCTCACACGTTTCGTCGTGGATACCTAAGATACCGACACTCGCATACCCGACCCTGCACAGACTGTTTCTCAAATTCAACGCTGCCGTTCAATCCAGCCCGTCGGTGGAACGTCTATTTAGCTTGGCTGGGGACGTCTTTAGAAGGAAACGGGAAAAACTTTCCTATCAATAACTTTCGAGTCAATAGCTTCTCCGAGCCAATAAACTATTTTGGCGAAAACGCAAGCCATAAATAGACTGCATTTATTTTAGGCTCGCAGGGTTTTTCATTGATCAAAACTGCTGTTCGTTTTGTTACCACAAAAATATAAAAAAGTAACTTCGAAAGTAACTTCAAAGTAACTCGCTACTTTTTACAGTAGTTAGTAGTTTACTCAATTACTATTACAAATGCGTAATTTCTACTCTACTCCAATTACTTTTGGCGTCGATACTCAGTAACTTAACTTAACTACCTTTTTTGAGTAACTTGTACATGTCTGCTCTTCAGAGTGGGCAACAGGATCCTGCGAAACTCGCTTCGCCGCAGCGCAGCCTCGTGCGTAGGGGAGAAGCACCCCTCCAGAGCGGGAAGGTGCACGCATGCTCTTCGCCATTTTACTGTAGTGTGACAACTCTACCTTACAATGAAATCTTCCAAATAGTATTGCGGCCATTATACGAGCGTAGCTGATAGACTGCAATGCCCTGACGAGCTGTTTGTTTCGAATGCAAAATTTATGAAAGGACAGCTGGATATCACGAGATGATTTCTTAATCTCCTCGACTATGTAGAATTATTATATAAAATACCTCTTTTACTTGACAGTCCCGTATAGGCGAATCGACTATTCGAGGGCACAGTCCAACATAGTTTGATTTAAAATTCAGTGAACTTTACCAGAGGGCAGATGCCAGCTTCGGCACATCTTTTACAAGTTCTGCTGGACTTTGCATTTAAGAAAGCAAACTTATTGTCCACATGCTGATTTTATTTCTTTTGTATAACTACAAGCACATTTAAATGACAACTCATTTAAGAATTGTGCAATTTAATCTCAATCTCGAAAACTTGGATAAAACATTCAGTGCGGTGTTCCAGGGTATTTTATTCTCAGGTTATTTCGGTGGAATGCCGTTTGATTTACCTTGGATTCTATGCAGAGAAAAACCAATGCACACATTCTCGTGCATATCTCCACAATCAGCATGAGCTTTAGAAACCGCTGCTGCAGTGAGTTGGCTCTCATCGCAACATTTTTCTAGCTGTGTTACGGTGCACATTTGATCCCCGTTCCTCTATTTCACAATTTCACTGCCAGGCCGCTAAAGTTTTTGACGCACATTGTTGTAGGGCGCATGCTTCCCGTTCCTAGATGTCGCGTTTTTTACCTCTGAGTGCCGCACCTCATCTGGAGTGGCAAATCGATGAGTGTTTTGGGGAATTAAACCGTGACCACTGACAGGAAGAGGACGGCAGGCCTTGTCTTTTGAAGACCCAGCCCCAGCACGCACTATATGCCTTCTGCCGTGCGTGGGCTGTGCGCACGTATCCAAGGTGCATGGCGCTGATCTTGTATGTATAAGAATTTGTTTTTGGTCCAATAAACACATATGATCAAATATGCATCTATTGGGGCCCTTTTTGGCTAACGGTTTCAAAAACAAGCAAACAGAATATAAGAACCTTGTAAGAACCCATAAGAAGTTATAAGAAACTTCTTATTAGTCTCCCCTTCTTATATACTCTTGTATGGCTCTTCTGTGTTCTTATATGATCTTATTTCATCATATGCATTTATTGGACCAAGAAATTTCTTATACATATCAGATTTTTCGCTCGGGAACGGTGTTATCTGCTGTATAGTGGAAGCTGGTCTGGACAGGAGCAGGAAACTAAATGTGGTATTTCTTTTTAGTTGAACTGGCCAACGCATAGATCTTAGTCTAGCGTTTGCATGAATACCCATGTGAAAATGTCTAACTGGGACCAGTTGGAATCCTAGCTGGAAATTAGGTGCTTTCAACAAGCATTCAACTGGTCCCAACAGAGATTCAGTGAATACCAATTTGGGCCTAACTGGGATCAGCTGAGAGCCCAACTGGGACCACTTAATGAGGTTGACTGGACGAAGCCATTCCCAATTGGGAGTCAACTGGTCCCACCCTTCCCTGTTGGGGAACAAGTTAGTCATCTGAGGCTGGTTAGGGGACCAACTGGTTGGATATAGATCCCTTGGTCTTGGCATTCTTAACTGGGGGGAAAGTGTATATGTGCTCCAAAAATTAGTTTTCGCGCTCTAAAACAGAGTTTTGTCTGCGCCGAGAGGTGATCTAAAATGACTCGAACCGATCACATTACTGATAGTGCGACATGCGTGCATCTCATCTCCGGTGCAAGCCCGTGATCAAGAATATTGCATGATTGCTGTACTCCGTTCACCGCTAAACTGGAAGTGCAGTGGAAGATATGCGGCCACTGGACCAGTCGCACGTCTGTTTGTTGCCACATGATCACACTCCCACCCATGAAGAGAGTAATGTCAAGTGATAGGAAAGGGTTGCCTTTGATTGGCCTAGCAAGCGCCCACTACAGCTTCGGGGTGAACACAACATATGTCGACTCCCATTTACTCACGGCTACTTACGGCGTCCCTGCACAGCGATTCCTGACCTTCGATTGACATAGTATCCGATTTGATATTCGTATAGAACACTGACAGATCTTGGAAATTCCGCAAAACTTGTAATTTTTCATGGTCTGTTTGGGCGTGTTATTTAGCTACGTTGAGTGCACTTCTCATTGTGCACTTGTGTGCTATGTAAAAGTCACACTCGCGTAAAAGACAGTGTGATCCTGCATGTCTCGCTTCACCGCAATGATCCTTGAGCTTTGGGAAAAGCAGTCTTCCAGAGAGGGATGGTGCACGCTACGGATATTTGAAACTCAAAAAGGAACTTGGTCTATGCTGATGTCACACCTCTACCTTGTAACTGAATTTTGAAAACCACCGCTAATTTGTATGATAGTTTGTGGTATCCTGATGAGTTGCATGCATAATTAGTCAGTTGTAAGTATGTTTTCAGATTTGAAATTTAAAGAAGCATACTCTTGGATGTTCACCAACATACGGTTCTGACGTCGCGCTGCTGTGCTGCGGTGCAGACGCTTTACTCCATGCAAACCCAGTTTCTGTGCAAACGCAGTGCCTACACCTGGTGTGGGCAAATGCAGACTTGTTTGTAAACATTGCACTGGTCTATAGTGAAAGAATATGATCTTGATAAAGTGCAACTTGGTTGCACTGCATTTTATTTTTACTACGCCAAACCACTCAGCTTTGTCGGTGGACAATGTGAAGCTTGGAAGCAATGTTAATGTTCAGCTTGGTTTTTCAGGTATTAGTATACTGATATTACACCATCATAAAACTGGGACCCTCTTCTGTTTGTAGCAAAAATGGAGTTTGAATCTTCTTGTATACTTCAAATATCTCGAGGATCACCATTCAGTACACCTGTTGTGATGGACTCAGTAGATGTACCAGCATTGTTTTGTCTCGGTATTCTACATTCAGACGATCCACAAAGTGTAGACCCTCGAGCCTTGACGTTGGTGATTTCATTGGTGTCAAACTTCTTACCATCCCTTGTGATGCCTTGTGTGTGTCTTCTCCTTTCTTTCGTTCGTGTGTATACAATACTTATGAAGTATTGCTGCATTGTGCTGGTCTTCATATTTACCGTGAAATACTGGGGAAGCATTCATGGCCACTTTCACTGAAGACTGGGTTATTCTAGACACGGGCGCTTGTCCAGTCAAATCGGTAAAATCCAAGATGGCAGCTAATATAAGCTTTGAAGGCAGAGCGATTGAAATCGGAGAAAGCGCATTTATTTTCGCATAATATCCCCATCATCACTGCTGGTGATCTCGCGGCCGTCGCAACTGGGTGAATATTTTCGGCTGATGCCAACGCTTTGGAGGAGGAGGGCGCTTAAAGGGAAGCTACGGAGCTTCTGGAAAAAATGAGTTAGAAGTGAATTCGAGTGTATTTTTACCCCGTGAACCCGAATATTCAAACCATTTGCTGCGTAAGTATTGTTAAACGCGAGAAAAACGCGAAAGACAGTCGCTGTCCGTGACGTCATCGACGGCTCTTTTGGCTACCCAAGGCTAGGGAGGCGGGGCTTCAGTCCTATTTTGAAATTGCTCGTATTGCTCTCTGGCGCGTCGCATTGAAATAAAATTTTGATATCTGTTAATCTAAAGGCCAAATGTACGCAATTCAAGCGTTTTTTCTCAAATGTAGAAGTGCCCCATCTTCCCTTTAACGTAACATTTGCCGAATTCCCAGGTTTGGACAATGTTAATGGCGAGTGCTTGTATGAAGTGGGCAATTCTGCAGTATCCTAGGGTATGTGACTGGTGACCTTACACTAATTCGTGTAGTTGACAGAACATTTCAGATGTCGGTGAAGCTCGATTGCAACTTTTTCTGCTAAAATTTCATGTTGCTACAGTCCACAATCTGCCTGTGTTCTAAACATAAAGAAAAAGAAGTAAATTTTGGTAATGGTGTCTCTGCAGTGTGTATAGATTACACGTAATTTGCCCTTTGTTTGCAATCAAGGTTTTATTTTCTTCCATTAGTTTTTTTTATGTATGAAAAAAACAAGCACCCCATTTGAGTAGATGGAAATTATTGCAGTTGACTCACACCCTATAGGCACAGTGACCAGCAGGGACTGATTCTTGACCTTTTCATTTCAGGTTGACCTCATGAAAGCTGGCCTTCAGACGATACCCCCTACCCGTGTCTCGTGAAACCATCAAGCGGCAAAGCAAAGCACAATGAGAAGAGTGACAATACCCCAACGAAAGAACCGTTGCCCATCACCAAGACGGATGCCCTGGTCTCTTACCAAGAAAAAGATGACCAAGTCATTTCCTAGCAATATACACGTCTGAGTTGACTCATCTCTTCGACAGTTCAAGTGCATCAGACTTGTGGTTGTCTTTATTTGCCCCTCCTTCGAAAGGCGAGAATCTCAGTGCCACACAACTTTGGAAACTACCTATCTACCTCATCGCGTCGAGCGACAGCTGACTGTTCTTTGGCGTCTCGTTTACCCTCCTCATCGAAGACCAGAGCGCACGACCACAAGAACGATCCATAGCCAAAGGCTTGTTCGGACGGCCGGTCGCCCTGAAAGGCGACGCGGAGCGGCGACACCTGGTGAATTGCCTCGCGCGTGGAACAGGGTCTGGCTTCTCAGGGAAAAAAAAAAAAAAGTAACTAGCCAGCCCTCCCGCGTGAGATGATTCTGCCGTGCGACGTGAGCAGCCATGTCAGCACCTCCGCGTCTTCGTCCTCGATGCACCCGTGCGCCATGCCGTCTTCGCTGACTGTGTCACCTCCGCCCCTCTTCAGCATGGATCCGAGCCACCAGTCCCCCGAGCAGCTGATGGCGCAGTACGCGGCTCACGTGCTGCGGCAGCACCACCAGCAACAGCAGCAGCAGCAGGCCAAGCCATACAGCCGGCGCACTCCGGCGGCCAAGCCCTACTCGTGCGAGCAGTGTGGCCGCGGCTTCAAGTACCTGCACACGTTGCGCTTCCACATCAAGACGACGCACGACAGCGCGGCCCCCGCCGTGGAGCCACGCCTTTCGAGGCTCCGCAGGGACGCCCCGCCCGCCTCGGATGTCGGCTTTGGCTCGGCTGACCGGTCCGACCTCGCGGATGCCAGGGAAGAAGACCTTTCGGTCCACAGGGGCCCCGAGGGGCCGAGGCCCGAGCCGGACGGGCACCCGGAGTTTCCCCAGGACGTGAGCCCCCAAAGGCCTGCCGCACCGGAGCGGGACCCTGCGACGGCGTCCATCAAAAAGGAGGCTGCGGAGCATCAGGACAGCAGCTACGGGACGGCGGCTAAGCTGGAGGACGCGGCCTCCCGCATGGGCGGCCTGGCAAGGATGGGTAGCATGCCGTCACCGCCGCCCCTCCTCGGCGTCGGAGTGGACTCGTGGCGCGGTGTGAAGCTGCAGTCGGAGGTGCCGCTGGCCATCAAGGTCGACGCTGTGAACCCGCTGACGGAGCAGCAGTACACGCTCTACAAGTGCGGGGTCTGCGGCGAGACCCACCCAGCTCTGCGGGCGCTGTGCGACCACCTGGAGGGCCACGTGCGCGCTGCCAAGGAACACCACTGCGACAAGTGCGGCGCCGTCTTCAAGTGGCGCAGCCAGCTTCTGGTGCACGAGCAGGTGCACCAGGTCATCGAGGGCAAGGGTGCGGGCCTTTCGCTGCCCCCTGGGAGCCTGCTTGGCACGCTTCCGGATGCGCTCATTGGGGAGCCGCGCGTCTCCTTTGACCAGGCACTGCAGCTGCAGCTCGCGGGCCAACAGCTCCTGCCCGGATTCCTCCAGCACGGGGCGCTGCCGAACCTTGCCATGGGCCTGCCGCCGCTGAGTCTGGCTGGAACGACGTCGTCCGCGGGACATCCCCCATCGCCGTCTCTGGCCGAGTTCTCCTCAGGCCCCGCCACCACGTCGTCTCGCGGCAACGGCTCGACCAAGTCGGCCGGCGGCTCGCTGTCGACCCAGGAGGGAGGAGCGGGCGGTGCGCGCCTGCCCTTCCAGTGCAGCTACTGCAGCAAGTCTTTCGACCGCATCTTCTCGCTGCAGCGGCACGAGCGCATTCACACCGGAGTGAAGCCATGCTACTGCAAGGCGTGCGGCCGCGGGTTCAGCGAGCGACGCAACCTCCGTCATCACATCATTCGCTTCCACTCGGACGTGAGTCAGCGGGACCAGCTGCGGCGGCGGCGGAGGGCCGCGGCCGCTAGGAGCCGCGTTGCCGCCACTGCCGCGTCCGCAAACTGCGCCGGCGCGGGTGCCCACAGTGACGGCGCCTCTGCTGCTAGCGGGACGGGCGGCACCACGCCCCCTGCGCCGAGCTCTCTCAAGCTGGTCTCGTTCCTCAAGAAGACGGCCGTGCGCATCCTTAACTCGATGGAGCAGACAAAGGGCGGGGAGGAGGGGGAGGAGAGGCACGCTGAGGAGGAGGAGGAGGAGGACGACGAAGAGGAGGACATGATAGACAGGGAGGAGAGAGCATACCTGAGCAACGGTGGGAAGGGAAACGGGGACGCTGTGGAGGAAGACGAAGACGCGGCGATGGAATGCAACGAAGAACGGAGCGGGAGGCTTGACGACTCGACCGTGGTTCTCGGGGCGCGGGGTTCGGATGGTCCCGTCACAAAGAGGGAGGGGAGGAGGGAAGAGGAGGAGACGGAGGAGGACAACAAGACCATTATCTACCCGCTGGATGTGTCCTCGGCACAAGTGGAGGACAGGAAGAGCGGTGAAGATGCCCAGTCTCTCGCGCTGTCCTCGTCGCAGGAGTGCGATGGCGCGGGCGAGGCCAGGAAGCCGGCGGTGGTGACAGGAAACAGGCGCAAGAAGGGGAAGCCGATGCGGTACGGTCCGGCCGTGGTCGAGGAAGCGGCCGAAGACTGTGCGGCTGACAAGGGTTCGGACGACGCTCCCGACGACGATGCAACCACCGAGGAAGGGGATGGGAGCAGAGGGGAGGCGGACGAGGCGCTGAACCCGTACTCCAAGGAGGAGATGGCGACCTGGATGCAGCTGGGCAAGCAGCTGGGTGAGTGTGGGCAACTTTTCTGCTACCTTGACCTGGCTTAGCTGGGGTCTCGTGCCTTGTGTCCTACGCGTTCGGCGGCAATAGGCCCTCTTCAAAAGTGTACCCTCCAGTAGCTGCCACATTTCGGGCACACACTTTGACCGTGTATTGAATGCAAGCGCTGCTGCAGCACTCGCATCCGATTACTCCGCCTCACACAGGAAGCGATACCCAAAATACAGAGGCCACTAGTGTTGCTCGATGAATTTTTGAAAAGGGTGTCAGGTGTCAGTGTCTTCTCGGTGTCAGGGTTGTGAAGATAATGGGCACAAGTAACTCTGCATTGGTCACTATGTACTCTTCGTAACCGACGTTCACACCTACTGTAAGATCCTGAGAGATGCCCTACCCCTGATAGATAGCCGACCGCTATTTTTGGCTTGATTTGCTATATTTTTTTTAACACCTAAAGATAGCTCACTTTTAGTAATAGTAATGTTGGAATCAATGATGGCCCCGGCAAAAATTTGGCTAGTTCGCAATGGCGAGATATCAGCAATCGTTGCTGACCGGGAAATACAGTCATCTTTGCTTCGTTGCCCGTCGCCACCATAACAAGCTTGGAAGGGGCACAACCTATATATAGGAATTTTTTGAAACTTTTCCTGATTGTACATTGGAAGTTGACCCGCTCCGTATTTTACCCGATTGGCTCTTGATGTTGGGTGGGCATTCCCTCGAGATTTCACGTTAGATACTTTCATTGACTGCATGGTAACTGGGTGAACACTTTCTAGTGAATTGCGATTATGACACATTTCTTTTCTGCTGATACTTTTCTGGTATCTCTGCCGAAATGAGGAAGGGCGCATACCTGCTCAGGAGGACCCTAGATGGGGAAAGTGCAGCAAGATATTGCACTCCGGACATTTCTTAATGCAGATGTTTAATTCCAAATAAGGTAAAAAATAACATTCCAAGTGCTGATGAATTGCAATGTCGGATACAAATGTTTCCTGTATGAAGCATCTTGGGATGGGGTGAGTGGACCAATTGATAGACAATTTACAAGGAGTAGCACCTTACAAAAGATTATTTTTTGGGTTGTGTTTTGTCCTGTGCCATCTGTAGAGCTGATAAATGCTGGCTCTTCTTTTTTAATAGATCATGTTTTCATAGATTTGATGCCAGTATCCAGAGCTGCCATTTCAAGGCATCTTTTGAAATGCATGCCCAGAGCGGTATCATATGCCAACTGAAAGTTTTCTAAAACTCCCTTTTAATTCTAAAGGCTCAATGTTTAGCAATGGAATTAAAAGTTTGTTATGGTATATTCTACGAATGAATAAACTATGTAAGGTAGCCTATTGTTCCTAGCACTTTTTTCAAGTGAACATCTTGGTCGGACATTTACAAAATTAACTTTTACTCATTATTTCAAAAAATAAAAATTGTGGAGTGGAAAAAAAGTAAAGTACCTTGAATGTAAACTACCTGTGCATAGGTAATTTCTGAAATAAATATATTAAGATGTTTGTGTGTTAATACATTTTAGCAGAGTAGCTATAATCTGTATCTTAGGAATGTTTGTAAAGTAGTTTTTACAACCCTAGTCAGTACTTGCAAAAAATGCTGAGCATGATTTGCATCAAGGGCCTGTATGATTAAATGGTCAGTAGTGCCAACTACAGGACGTTAGCATAATTAGTGTTTTATTGTTTCTTTTGGCAACTGTCACAGTCAAGAAAAAAAAAAGAATGCAAAGACTTGCACAGTTAGTTAATGCAAGGAATGTCCATTATTTTGTAGTATAGACATAAGCAAATAGGAGTGGTACGTAGACTTGTTGCTACCTTGCATGGGAGGGAGTTTGATTGAGGGTGTCATTGATAGTTCTGCACTGTGTGGGCACAATGGCAATGCACTCTAATTCCGGTGCCTCTGGAATTGGGGGGGTCATGATAGCCGCCAGGAACTGTATCTCATCGTCTTTCATTCCAGTCGACTCTGTGCTTGAAATTCTGTGGGTTACAATCAGAATAGGCTTTCCAAGGTGCTTAGTCGGCACATGCTCTAGGCCACCGGACTCACATGCAGAGTTTGTTGCAGAAACAATAGATAATGTACAACCAAAGTTTCCTAATATGTCTACATTATTAGTGGCAGATTTTAATTACTTAGGTATCGATTGGGCAGCAAATGAAGTGTTTAGCAACTGCACGAATAAGAGTGAATGTTTAAAGTTTCTTGAAATGACCAGTTATTTTCAATTTTGCCAAATCGTCACAACTCCAACACATGGTGATGCACTTTTAGATTTTGTTTTGACAACTCGCCCTAAGTACACTTCAGTAAATGTTATTGATAAAAAAAGTGATCACTGCATTGTAAGGGTGTGCAAATAGTGGTTCGAATCGAATAGCGCAGCGTCATCCCTAGCTTCTGCATTGTTAAAAGAACTGACCGTTTTCGCTTTCCCTTGCATTGTCAAGACTATAGATGATGCAGCGCTATTCGATCCGAACCACTATTTGCACAACCCTACTGCATTGTGCACTGTACTTTTTATTTGCTTGTTGGAAAAGGCAACTTTTTAGGAATACAAATCTTAGATTAAAAGAGTGCAGATATGAAGCCTCTGATGTCCAGGTTGTCCGCGTTTTCTAGGGCATTCTTGAGCCGTTTTGTTGAGCGTTCTGTGAATGAGAATCGGGTACTACTTCGGGACACACTATACGAATTTCAAACAGACTGCATCTCTGTAGTAAATATTGCACATTGTCTACGTTCACCATAGTTTACAACTAAATTAAAATGAAGCATTTATATAGACGTGCAAAGAACACAAATAAGGAAGAGCACTGCGACTTTATGCTTTAGTTTGTAAAAAATAGATTGAGGAAGCCGAGCAGTTTTTGTAACTTTGATGTCTCAAATATGCTGCAGACAGATCTGGAAAAGTTTTAGAGGGTAGTAAATCCTCAAGCTGCTTTAATGTACTTCCGTGCTTAGCTTAGGAACGCTTAGCTAGGTACCGATGGTGCTTTGCATGATGATTCCAAACTGGCTACTCAGTTTAACTTGTTTTTTTTTTGCAGCGTATTTACTTAGGAGAGTGACTTTGCAGATACAACTGTACTACAAATATCAGTGGACAGTAATATGGATGATATAGTAGTAATTTCTACTCATGGAGTTGAATATGCCATTGACCGCCCGTCTACTAACTCGAGTCTGGTTCCAGATGGCATTTCTCCCAAGTTATTAAAACTAACCAAACAAATATCTGGTAATTTTCTTGGAAGGCTGTTCCAACAATCACTTTCCATAGGTGAATTATCGGATGATTGGAAAAATGCATGTGTCGTTCCTAGTTTCAAAGCTGAAGATAAAAACCTATTGAATAATTACAGACCCATTCCACTCACCTGTGTTATATGAAGCTTCTAGAACACATTATATTGTCTCAAATTATAACCTACTTATCATCCCATCAGGTTCTTTTCACTAACAAGCATGGTTTTCAGCGTGGCCGTTTGTGCAAGATTCAGTTGTTTGAGCTAGTCACTGATCTCCGTAATTCTGTTGGTTTGTCCAAGCCCGTTAATGCTGTATTCATTGATTTCACCAAAGCCTTTGATTGCATTCCTCATCAGCGGCTAATATATAAACCAAGTAAATAGAACTTATCCACCATCTTCTTTAAATGGATAACAAACTTTTTAACTAGCAGACGCCAGTCTGTTGTAATTGGTCAAGGTCTTTCCTCCTCCTTTTTCGTGACGTCTTGTGTCCCACAGGGATCGGTACTTGGCCCCGTGCTCTTTCTGATATATGTCAATGATCTGCATTCTAATATCCAACCTTGCACTCGTCTGTTTGCAGATGATTGCGTCATTTATCGTCCAATTACGGGTCCTTCGGATTATAAAATTTTACAGGATGACTTGTTTATAATCTCTGACTGGTGTGCCACGTGGTTGATGAAAAGAAACAGAAACAAAATGAAAGCTATAACATTCTTTGCAAAACGTCATTCCACTCCATGCACACACTGAATCAGAAATGATCCTATCGAAAATGTATCTTCATTTAAATATCTTGGCATTCATCTTTCATCTGATCTTACGTGGAACACTCACATTCAACATATTACTAGCAAAGCGTCAAACGCTTGGCTTCCTCAAAAGAACTCTCTTTCAGGCAAACACAGAAACAAAACTCGTTGCGTATACTGCTCTTGTTAAGTCGCAACTTATGCATTCATCATCTGGCATCCTCACCAGTCATATCTGGGAGAGAATATAGATTCATTACAAAACAAAGTTGCTCGTTTCATAGTTTGTGACTACTCCTGCTTTGCTAGTGTAACTGCTATAAAACATTGACTTGACTTATCACCCCTTCATACCAGAAGGCATCTTGCATGCCTATCATTTGTTCACAAACTCTAGCATAGCTCCTCAGCTTTCAAAGACGTCTTTTATGGCCAAGTCACCATATACCGCCCCATTTATATCACTTTTCTTTGAAATTAACACCATATATCAGGCGTGGCCAGGCTGACCTGGCCTAAGAGCCGCAAACGAAATCACGAAACTTCTAAGAGCCTCGGAAAGAAGGGGGGGGGGGGGGCAAACTTAAATTTTGTTCAGAGTCTGATTGTACGGGGGGGAGGGTTCCCTTACAAGGGATCCGCGAGCCGCACTTGGACCAGCAAAGAGCCGCATGCGGCTCGCGAGCCGCGGTTTGGCCACCCCTGCCATATATGCACAAACTAACATGTTCAAAAATTCGCCTCTTGCCATTTTGAATTGGAATAGCCGTCCAAGGGAAATTGCCTCCATCAGTGATCATGAGTTTTTTGTTGCTGCCGTAAACATGATGCTACTTGAGTAGGCTAAGTTGTATTGAAAATTTTGTCTTGGTTTCGTTCACCTATTCTTATGATACCTTTTCTATGCATATATTTCAATGACTGCTGAAAATGCCAGAATGCGTCGAAATGTTTTTTTTTTATATATGCATACATTGTATTTATGTTCTTTTTTGTGTGTGTTGCTGCTTGGTTTTTGTTTTTCAAATTACTGTACTGTTGTCTCCCCTATGTAATGCCTGTGAGGGCCTTTAAGGTATATAAATGAATAAATAAATAAATGCTGCCATCGTTTGCAGGGAACAATGCCTCCAGTTGTGAAAACGGGGATGCCACGAGTCCCGAAGCAAGCATGAAAGCATCTCTGCAGGGTCAGGGACCTTTCTATCCCAGCTTTAATCCCAGGTACGGCAACAGCTCTCTCCCCTTCGAAGTGTCCTAATTCGTTCTGATGATTACCTGTCCCACAAATCTAGATTAAACGGCAGATGATTCAATGGCACCTGTGCCATCATGTGTGCAACAGGGGAAGGGAAGCTAGCTAAGAGCAGTACTCGCATGCATTAGGTCCAGTTGTGATGTTGAATCCTCTCGTTTCTCAGAAATTGTTTATTTGTTTTGTCCTTGGCAATGCTTTTGCGTGCCACATTAGGGGAAAACATTTATTTGTCTCGGCTTCTGAACAAAAATTGGTAAGTATTATTGAGCTCCCTTCCTTTCCCGCTGGGGTTGCTGGTTTTTGGTCAATTGCCAAGAATGGAAATTGGATCTGGGCTTGATACTAAAGGCTTTATGGTGCCTACCTTGACTGTGTACAGTCGCTGAGAGCTGAAGGACGAACACTTGTGCAGTGTCAAGGTAGTACCTGCCATGCTGGCCACTCCCTGGGACGAGTTAGCCGCGTTCCGCATACTTCGGTCAAACAAGTGCTGCAGGTGCTCCTCTTAACGAAAAGGACGGTGATTTTTGGTGCCTCAAATGTTGCCAATTCATATTCTCCAAGCAGTGAAATGGGTAGTGCCACCATGAGCCACTATGGCACTGCTGATATTTTCATGTCGCATCAAGCTTTAAAGTACTGCCATTTTAATATGCTGCAACCTAATTTTGACGAATTTCGCAGCATAAGAAATATTTTCGTAAAATTTATCATATGGATTTTTAGTTAAACTAAATGGTGGTTTTGGCCAAATATTTTCAAGTCGAATATTGAATACGCACTTTCTCAAAGTCTCTCACTACTGTGCACCATGCTTAAATGAAAATTCAGCTGAACTCGTGAAGGTTGTTCCTAACCTTCCAGTTGTCCACATCTAAGGTCTGTTAATTTTAATACAGCTACGGTATATGAACTGTGGAATGTAAACGACAGATTTGTTGCGGCTGTTTTAATTGAGGGGATCTATAGATCTGCTCGCTATATGCAAATATTCTTTTTCTTATTTCGAATTTGACAAAACAGAAAGAAGCCCGAACGACGAACGAGGGGTAGTGAAGACCACTGCTTAACAGATACTCTTGCATAATCGCGGTGGGCCCTTTGAGTGCGCTTCTCACCGAGCACCCATGCACTGCGGGGAAGCAATGCTTGAGGGCTCTGCGGCTATAGCTTCCCCAGCAGTGCACAAATGCTCGTTGAGAAGCGCACTCAATGGGGCTAACCCGCCGCGATCAACACTTCGAAAAGTACAAATATCACAGTTCACCTCAAGGTGAAAATTGAATGGCATATTATTCGAAATGGCTATGAAAAAATTGGAATATTCGCACAACTCTAGAATATTTCATCCTGTGGTAACAAATACATCCAATCGAGACACCTTGTGCCTGCGAAACGTTCCCTAAACACACACTTCGCAACATTTGCGAAATACCGAGCCCGAGAAAATTATTTCGTTTACGGTGCGCACTGAAAAAGCTGAAGAAGCATGTGTGGAGCTTTGTTGCGAGGCTTCCTTCGTTCCTGATTTCTGTGGGAGAGGTGGAAACCTCTCCCACAGATGATATTTATAAGAAATCTCGAGTTTTGGACTTGAAATTGGTAGCACACTTTGTGTCTGAATTTCTGAGAAGAGCTTTGTTGAAGTGATACTGGAATTCTGCCTGTCTTGGCACATTCTGGTCTTCTTTATTTCTTTTTTATTTATGTGCGTATGCTTGTCAATTTTTTTCAGCCTTCGTAGATATTAGTGACTACTGATACGGGTTATTTTTATCGGCACAAAAGGGCGCTCGCACACTTTGCCTAAGTGAGTCTGTGACTGTCTTTTGTTTGTTCACCAATGTGAGCTGGAAACAGTGTGAACTTATTGTTAAAAGTCTTCCTTATGCTGGTACGTACTGTATGCTGAGACTTGACAGACCTCACCCTGAAAGCCATACCGTAAAAGGTCTGGTTGCGTAGCGAGTGTTACCCAATTTTGACGTGACCGTTGTGCTTCTGTGTTCACTTTATCGTGACTACCTATTATTTTAACCACTTTTGGAGTTAAAATGGCATTCTCTTTTCCAAGTCAACCTTTCGATGACTGCTTTGTGCACGCAGCAAGCCAACTAAGAGTGACTTTTTCAACCGGGCACCACATTCCGTTCGCCCCTAAGCTGACAGCAAGGTGGAAGCTATGTGCCCACTAGACCGGTCGTACGTCTATCTTTCTTTGTGTGGTCACGCTCCTGCCCACGCCAATGCACAGAGAGCCGGGTCGGGCGACGAAAGGGAAACGGTCGATCGGTCTGGCAAGCTTGTAGCTTCCAACGTGCTGCCAGCCTAGGGCGACTGTAGTACAGCTAGGATTGCGCTGCACCGGCTTTGAGCCTCAAGCTCATCCGCCTCCTCCTTCCCCAGGCCCGACCCGGAAGAAAGGCGGAACGACGACGAAGCGGGCAAGCCCCAGCTGGGCCCGGACGGGAAGTGTGTCTACTCTTGCTCCTATTGCTACAAGAGCTTTTCTTCCACCTCTGATCTCAGCAGGCACATGGACTTGCACGAGGGTGAGCGTCGTGTTCCCTCGCCTTTGCTCTGTTGTTCGGTCGAATCCATTTTACGTCGCACAGCCAGGGCTTGCACAAGCTTTCGGCTGATGTTGTTTAATTTTAAATTGCCCCGTTGCCACAGACATGGCAACGAGACGTTGCCATGTCTGTGGCTTGTCGTGAGTCCCGTGACACGCGGTATTGATAGCAGCGGTGTCTCGGGCATAAGTAACGAGGAGTCATTTGCCGAGTGCTGACCACAATGTACAATCATGAATGGAAGGAACTAGTCATTCATTACGATCATACTGCCGGCCAACCCTCGAAGGTCGAGGCATTGTGTGAGCAAAATAGCGAAACTATTGGGAACCAAGTAAACACACACAGGAACGAAAGAAAACGAGTAGCTCAGTCATTGACATAGAAAGGTCATTGATTGAACTAGCAGATGAGCGGCAAGAGTACTAGTTGCTGCCACGCTTGTGGTGCAACACATTACACTCGCGAGGGAAAAAGGAGTATTTAAGAATGTATTTTCCGCGGCGGAACTCAAGGAGCAATTTGTCATGCTTTTGCCTTGTACCACGACTTAGGTTATGCCGTAATTAATCGGCGAAAGGTAAACCATTTTTATTGTGTATTATGTTGCGCAAAAATGACAAGCACTTTACCTTTCTTTGACACAACAACTTGGTCGTTGTGCTGGGATATGGTTCTCTCAAAGCCGCCTCGGTGGCCCCGAGGCGAGAGCGCCGGCCTACGGATCCCCAGGTGGCGGGCTCGAATCCCGACCGAGGTGCCTGCAATATGACGGAGGCTTATTGCGGAGAAGGCGCCGTGTAACCAAGCTTTCGGTTGCACGTCAAAAGATCCCCAGGTGGTCGAAATTAATCCTCAGTCCTCCGCTGGGGCAGCCAGATGCCCGTCGTAGGTTTGGCACGTAAAACCCCCAAATTTGATTTGATGGTTCTCTCAAAGAATGAAAGACTCATATCTCAGCAACAATAACATTTTTAAAAACCTTTTTTGTAAGAATCATTGTTGAATGGAATTGCCTACCGAAAGAGAACGTTAACAGCCCATCACCAGACAACTTTTTCTCTAAGCTTAATAAATTTCCAGGCTTGCCCAAAAAATGTTTTATTTGTTATTGCTCACATTTTGTATTGAAATTGTGCCACTTTTTATTTCATTATGTCCACACTTACCTGGGCCTAACAAACCTGTATTGTCGAATAAGAAAAAAAAAAAAAACATGCGAGTGGTTTTTGTTGATGCAACTGCCAACTGCATCTACCATGGCTCCTCATTCTCTGGGAAACTTAGCTTAGTAGGCACGTCGCAACGATAAAAGGGGCCTCAAGTGACAGAAAATTTAAGCGAGACAGGACCACATTTAGACGGACTGGCGACTGCAATTCTGTGACATTACCCACGACCGATTGGTTGTGTTAGACTGAATATCTGATTTTGTTTGTTTTTCTGCCTTTGATACTGCGAGCCCCAGGGTAATGACAAATTTCAAGCTTGTCACCACCTTTGCAGCCCTAGATGGCCTAAAGGTCTTCAAGAAATCTTGACCTCAAATTTATAGCTCTTTGGAAGAATGAATTTCTTGGGGGTCATTCGAACAGCCTAGCAGTTCATCTTTAAGGGGTCTAAGGATGGAAGTGGTCAGCACTATTTGGAAGCAGCTAAAACTGATTTCAATGATTCAGGATTATTAACACATGCTTTCAATGAGTCGGTTATTTTGAGAATGCCGAGGGATAGACCGGGTAGTGCTTTCGATATAACAAACCAGTTTGAACAGCAGCCACCGCTGCAAGAATGCCTCGTCGGAGACGGTTCTGAAAGAATGTTTCTTTTTAATTGTGTCAAATATTTCCAAGCTTTTGAGCCAAGATAGTGCAATCTAGGTTTGTTGTTAGTGTTGCTGCTACTGCATGGTCTGTTGCTTTATCTTCATTGCCTGCATTATTTATTTTTTTCACCACCTCTCTTGTTTTTGTCTTTCTCTTTCTCTCTTTCCTTCCATCGCTCCCCACAGGGAATCGTTCCTTCAAGTTGATGTGAACTGTGAGTATACCTCACCATTCTTGCTTTATTTCTAACTTAATATGGCAAGTTTGCACACTTTCTCATTGTAATTTGGCAAAGAGCGAACGCCATGGCCCCCTCGAGTTAATCGGTGAAACGGAGGCGCTCCGATTGGCTCGAGGGGCCACAGCTTGGCTAATCGGAGATCAGCAGGTCACTCAGAGTTCCATACAAAAGCGTGTTTCCTCTCTCTCCTATCCCCCGTGGCTTCGACAGCACTGCCTGCAACTAGGGAGATAGAGCATAGTCACATGTCCCCCTCCGACGCGCCGATCGACTCACTAGGACTGTGTCCTTTGCCGTTTGCCAAGTTACAATGAGACGGAGTATACTAGTAGCGACTTTTTTTCTTTGTTTTCCCATTCTTCTTGGCTCTACAGCAATTTCTTGAATGTTTCTTCTGATCACCTTGTAACATTCCATAAGCATGCAGATGCATTGCCTCACTAACATTTACTGCACACCTAATATCCAGTAGTGAATGCTTGTGAAACATGACGTGCGCCTTTCTCGCTCTTGTTTCGTAACAGTTGTTCCAAGTGAGTAACTACAGTAGGAATCTTTCGCAGCATCTCTGTAAGACCGCGACTTCTGCTCGAAGCTGAAATTCCATTCCAACCTAGTAAAAATTTTGCACGCAAGGTTTTCGTCTCAACACCTTTGATGTGCTCTACATTGTGAAAAGTGCCCAAAACTTGGGGGGAGGTTTTCTTTTAGAGCACCGCTCTTAGGCGCCCGTTTCCATCTTCAGCGGCGTTGCCGTCAACGTAACGGCGGCGACGTTTAGGCACCGTGCCGAAACGTCCTCGTAGGGGGTCCCGTGACCTGGCGGGGTTCTGAGGGGGGTCACGTGACCTCAAGGGGGTCATGTGACACCCCTTAGGACCCTTCTGACGGGTCCTGAGAGGGGTCACGCGACTTCACGGTTACGCCGACGGCGACAGCGACGCCGCTCGGAGGGAGGAGTAGCAGGCAGGATGAGGAGGTGGGGAGGAGGGGTATACCCTCCCCTCAGTCAACACCTCCTAGAAGACAAGGCCGTAGCGCTCTACTCGTGACGTCGCGAGGGAAGGCCATCGGGGGCGCGCGGCGAAGCGAAGGCAACGCGCGTGGATCGATCGTCGTAACGTGCTTTTAGTCACATTAGCATGTCTTATTAGCTGAATTGAAAGCTGCACATAGCAACGGGTCTCGAAAACATTTCATTACACGGGCAAAATATTACACCGCTAAGTGATCGGTATGAAATGGTACGAGGAAGGCGTACAAGAGAAAACATTGATTCACACAATTATTGCTGCAGGAATGCTTATTTTACACAGAAATACTTTGACAAACTAGCAAGACACGCAGTGATTAGACACAGCAAAACAGGTCACATTGAAAAATCAGGTAGACGTAGTCAACGCGGACACGGCTAGAGGAATGTCACTTACGATCATGTAAGCGATGTTATCGCATGGAGTAACTGATTTCTTGCATCATACCCCGGCCTCATGGCAAAAGTAATGTAATTTCGATGGAATGAAAATATTGGACTGACCAATTCAACTTGCGACGCTCATATAATCACTCAAAACAGCGAGCTGATTAAATCCCGTATTATTTAATCAAGATATATTAACCTTTCCGTGTGGCAGGGGTACTAAACTTACTATTTCCAGTCAACTAATTTACTTCTCCCTATGGGCTCGAGGTGCCTATGAACAAAATATAACCTATTCTGTGTACAATAATACTATTACCTTGATACAGTTAAGATTCTAGTATAAACGCAGTAAAGGCAACAAAATAACATTAGTATAAATAAACACATAAGCACAAACAACGCACTTTCAATAATCACACAAACTTGTTATTTACCTTCCAGTAAAAACTAGAATATTACCACGCATAATTATAAATGTCGACGCAGTAGCAAACGGATAATGACGAAGAACAAAACTCCATTCTACCACGATATTAAAAAAAAAAATAGACTGCAGCACTTTACTTACGTCTTACATGACCAAGAAAGCCCGTAAATAAGTTGTTCCTCACCTGTCGATCGTATCCATACGTCCCACACGATCCATCACAAAACACAAAAAAATTTTAACACAAACTTCAAGAAGTCTCTCTCTGTCGAGAGAGGTCATCGGCCAGTGTCATCATTGACTAGTTGCCACATACGTCGGTCAAACCGTAGCAGGACTTGTTTCACGAATCCACGTAAATGCCGTAGTATCAAGCGAACACACACACACACAAAAAAAAATCTTCCCGAGACTGCAGTGACGACAAAAAAAGAAAAAAAAAAAAAAAAGATGGGCAGGACAAAATCACACACACACACACACGCGAGAGCAGCACCAGCAGTGTGGGACGAGACGCTTAACATTGTCGACCCATCTCTTCCTCGTGTGCGCTCCCTCCCAGCGGCGATGAAGGGATTTTTTTTTTCGGTTCCTTTCCCTTCTGAAATGTCTCAGTGTACCTTTGCATGCAGTCAGCAGCTCACACGCAACGTAAATTTACCAGAATCAGAGCCCGTACGAGGGAAGATGTCGCATCGGAAATTCGGAGCCGGTTCATTCGAAAAGTGTAGGGAGCTGCGGGACTGCGCTTAGTCCCGCGGTTACGGGGATAATCAAAAATATAAATTTGGTACTTTCAACCTTGGTAACGCGTTGTATATTACGTTTATATTATATATATAATAAATTGTACAAGACTGCGCTTTTAAAACGTGTATTAATGTCGTATAAACGCGCACAAACATTAATGTGCTGATACGCGTCGACAGCAGCATTTTCTCACGTAGTTGTGCCATGGCCTTCCTTCCTCCGCCATTGTGACGTGCCCGCTCGGAGCGCTATGGCCTTCTTTTCTAAGAGGTGTTGCCTCAGTACCCTTCCCTCCTCCTCCTCAAGAGCTGCACTCTAATTCGGCATTACAGGGAGTTGTAAACAGCTTTCATTTTAGAGCGCAGCTCTTAGGGGCCCGTTTCCGGCTTGAGCGGCGTAACCGCAAGGTCACGTGACCCCCCCCCCCCCCCCCCCCCCGAGGTCACATGACCCCCCGAGGTCACGTGACCCTCCTGAAGTCACGTGACCCCCTGAGGCCGCGTGACCCCCTGAGGCCGCGTGACCCCCTGAGGCCGCGTGACCCCCTGAGGCCGCGTGACCCCCTGAGGCCGCGTGACCCCCTGAGGCCGCGTGACCCCCTGAGGCCGCGTGACCCCCTGAGGCCGCGTGACCCCCTGAGGCCGCGTGACCCCCTGAGGCCGCGTGACCCCCTGAGGCCGCGTGACCCCCTGAGGCCGCGTGACCCCCTGAGGCCGCGTGACCCCCTGAGGCCGCGTGACCCCCTGAGGTCGCGTGATCTTCCTCCCACAAGGTCACGTGACCCCCGTGACCTCACAGGACCCCCCTGAGGTCATGTGACCTCAAGGAGTCACCTACCCCTCAGTACGCTTCCATCCTCCTCCTCAAGAGCTGCGCTCTAACCGGCGTTACAGGAAATTATAAACGGTTTTCATTTTTTTTAATAAACATCTAGGGGAACTATACAAACATAAGGACTTCAATGTTTTTGTGTAGTCTTCTAAGCAAGTCGAGCCTCAATTACTTTCCACCATGTTTAACCTTCCCCAACTCACTTTCACCCCTTACATTTTCTGGGCTTCCTACTTCCTCAAATGTAGTATACAGTTATAAATTCATAAGCAGCATCTTAGCGATTTCGGTTGAACCCATCTCTAAAATTTGGTTGGTTTCTGGTGGTATAGGTGCTCTTAACTGTGGGATTGTCGGGCTAGAAATTTGTTTCTTTTGTGGTGGTTTCTAAAAAAAAAAAGTTTGCTTTTGCAGACCAAATGGGATTGCCATCCAACCAATAACCTGCGTGTTTTAGAGTGCATGCATTATGTTTTCTTTTAGGCTGGGATGGTTAGCTCTTGCCAGAACGGACATTTGTAAATGTGTAAAGCCTGGTTCAGACAGTTGCGTTGCTTGTGTTCAGAGTTACTGGAATGACAGCAAGGACAAGGTCCCCAAAAAAAGCGTTCGTCGTATGCAACATGTCGAGCAACGCAAAAAGTAGCTTCGTGGAGCAGTCGTGAGTCGCGGTTGTCCGCGTTACGGGCGTTGCTGTCATTTTGGTTGCTCTGGATGCAACCGACACAGATGTGTGAACCAGGCCTCAGTGTGTCAATAGAGCAGAACCTGGGCACCAAGGTTTCATGAAATGTCTTATTCATTGTTTGAGGAGGGAGCATTCCATAAGCTTCTTTGACAGGCTTGTGCTAGTCAAACCCATTTGTATATTGAACTGTATAAAATGCCCGGTTTCGTTTGATATACACAATAATTCATTATAGCAAAACCCACTTAGAACAAATTTTGACAATTTGTCCGTTATTCGCAGAGGGCGCTTAGCTTAGCATGCTGCTAGATGTGTTAAGGGGGCACACCCCCTAGGGGAGTCAACTTTTGAACCCTTGTCTTAAAATTAATGAAATTTACAGGGTAGGCTGGTGGTCATGCTAGAGGGTGTATAACAAAATTTTAGATCTGACGGTTAAATGAGAAGAAAATAAGAGTAGTAGCTTCTATCAGCAACATTGTTGCTGATAGAAGCTGCTACGTTGTTTAGTTAATCTATCGTCAGAAAACTATTGCGATATTAAAGATTTTTATTTGCTAGATATGTAGCAGAATGCTTAGAGGGTGCGGCTATGGAACATTTTTTCTATAAAGTAATTCATTTCTATAAATTTTCTCTTCTGCAAAATTGGTCAACGTTTTGGTCTTCTGTGCCTTCGACAAAATGTCAACATTTTTTACAAAAGACATCCGTAACGTAACAAAAAAGTTCCATAGCCGCACTCCTTATTAAATTTCAGTCAGGAAAAGGGAAGAATGAGCTTTTCCTGTTTTCCCATTATCAAACGATAGATTGACTAAAATAAAATTTATACCAAAAAGTAAAACGGAGAAAAATGTGTTAGAAAGTGCTTCAGACCCTACCTTTTCTATAGCTTTGGTGGACAGAAAATAATTTATAAAAAATTAACTATACAGTGAAAATTAATGAAACTTTTCGGGAATACTCTCTAGATGTTGGTGGATGTAAAGATGTCATTTTTCAAAATCAAATTTTTTTGCAGAATTTTTTTTTTCTGGGCAGTGTCTCCCCTTAAAAGCGACGGGTATGTTTTAAAAATTTTTTTCACCGCGTTCGACACAAAAAATGCGATTTCCGACAAAAAATTTCACTTAGTGCGGAATCGGTGACGCCGGATCCCTAGGGGGTGCGTTTAGGCTTTAGCTTAGTGTTTTGCCAGCAGGCGTTTTTTTTTTTTTTTTTTATTTTGTACTTTTTCTTAAATAAATTATTGAGTTGAAAGTTACGCCATGTCCTGTCCGGATCTTGCTTCGTTTTGTCAGTGTCGTTTTGGCGTATTATTCAGTAATGATGTCCTCTGTCTGAAACCTGCTGCTGCTTCATCGTCATCTTGAACCGAGAATTATGCCAGATTGCAGAACAGAACGGCAAGTTGCAGGAGGCTTAGGGAAATGAAGTTTACGATGGCGAGGCTCGGTCTGCAATGCATCGATTGCGTGCACGCCCAAATTCTGTCTGTTCAAAAACCACCGGTAACAACGGAGTTGATTGGCTGAAAAGCGCCGCGGTTGTTACGAAATTTGAGACCCCGTTGGGTGCTACGGCGTTACTGTGTGACTAAGTGTAACTAAGCGGAGGCTTTGTGCTGGGTAGGGAGGAACTTCCGTCCGCATTGCAAGGAAGCAGAATGCCAGAAGTACCAGAACTTGCATGTTTGCTGGTGGTTGTAGGCACTGGAAATTTGATATATCCAATGTGTAGTTTGTTATGCTATAGATTTTGCACGCATGTTCGACATGCGGGTTAATGCGCCATACCAGAGTTTGTTGTAATCGGGTTTGACTGTATATTACGATGGAATATGAGCCACGTGTTTTTTCAGTAATGTTGCGAAATTGTCTTGGGTGTTCCCGTAACATTTTGAAGGAAGCCACAAAGACCAGGGTGCCAGGACATCGGGCCAAATTATAAATAGTTGAATTGAAGCTAAAAATAACAGCAAAATCACTTTGTGTGTATTCCCCTGCCCTGTTCGCTTCTGGCGTGTTTTATTCCTTAGGTAATAGTGCGCGAGACCTGCCTTTTCTTCGCTGCATCGATGTTGATAAGCAAGTAGCGGAAAACAAAACGTTGCCCAGGTATCTTCTTTTGAGGTACACCGAGCCTTTTCATATCTTATACAAAAAATATAATAGAAAATTAAAAAAAAAAAAAGTTTAACATCTTTTATGTTCTTACTGTGTCAGAGTTTAGACATTCTGCTCTACTTACAGCTACCCAGTTGAGGCAAACAGTTGATGCCAGCAATGCGCCGCACAGGCTTCTCTTTAGCCTTCCTGACGAGCGCTCGCTCGCCGCTTTGTCAGTCGACATCCCCAACGCCGCCCACATAAATTCTAAGCAAAGCTCGTGAACACACACCCTCATGTTTCTCGCAGGAGTCCTTCAGCACGCGTGCCACACCTGCGGCCACTACGCCGCAACGAGCTTGGACCTGTCTCGCCACGAGGGCACGCGAGAGCACCTAACGCGGCGACAGAACGCGTGCCATGTGTGCGGCCGCGGCTTCGATTCCCGGTCCCTTCTCGACGGCCACGCCTTCGACTGCTGCGCTGGCTCCGACGCGCAGGACTTGTCGAAATCCAACGTGCAATACGACGAACGAACGTCGCGGCCCGTCTGCGCCGAGGCCAACAACAACGATCGCAAGTTTAAGAGCAGAAATGGGAGGCTGTCGCCCTTGGACGTGCAGCCGGCAACCGCGCACCCGGTGGCGTCGGAGTTGTTACCCGGTGACCTCGGGCAACTCTCGGCGACCTTCTTCCCCCGGAGTGCGTCCGTTGGAGCGCCATTTTCGGCCATCCGGAGTCTCGACTCTCCACCCTGAGGTCGTTATGAACGCGCCGGACAATGCTTTAAGGTTTGTTCGCTTTTGCGGCAGGGATAGTGTGCGCCGCGAAGTGGGGTGTGTGTGCTCTCGGAGAAGAAGCGGCTTTCAAACTTCGAAGAATGCAGTGGTGAAGTGCGCCTTCGTCGTCGCTGTTGCCACCTCGGCTTGTTCGAAAAGTGATATTCATAACGGGTCTCCACACAGACGGACATTTTGACACACAACACTCACACAAGGAGAAAAGAAAAACAAAACAAAAAAAAAACTGGAATGAGAAGCATCTCGTTCGCGACTTTGCGGGCATGCGTCGAGATGCCGAACGCTAGGGTGACATTCCAGACGGATGACTACGGGAAGCGTTTTTGTTGTGAGTTTGCGCGTGTAGACGAGGGCTGTTTTTGGGTTTTGTGAAGGCACGAAAAAAGAAGAGCCTTTCTTTTGAATATACCTCTTGTTATTTCATTTGCTTCTCAGGCAATGGCAGGGAGCTTAGGGTAGTAAACATGTTGTGCACTATTTTGCTTTGTCTTTTTTTTTCCTCATCTTGTTAGAGTTACTTTGTTTGGTGGATTGAGTGCAGTGAAACAATAATTTTCTTTATTTTCTAGAGATGTTTTTTCTTTTCCAGATTCTGACTGCCAGGGAAAGGCAATAGTGGATGGTATTGTCGTCTTCTAGGAAGTTTTTTTCTAGTAGGCTCTTTCTTGTTTTGTTATCAAAAGCTAAAGCGTGCGAGTAAAAAAGAAAAATTTGCGTGTCCTATTTTTTCGTTTGTTGGAGGATGTTCTTTTGTTCGTTACTTAATTTTCTCCTTCTACGAGAACTCTGGGAGATATTTGCAATTTTATTGTCACGTTTTTGCTGCATCCAGTGCATTATGTCATCCAAGATGACACTCGGGGAAATGTGCTTTTCTGTTATTATTTTCGTGAATCTTTTACATTTTTTCAGCAGTGCTTTTTTGTTTTTCTGCGGCGACCTCACGAATAATACGGGTCCTTTCAGGTTTCGCGCCAATCCGATCTGAGCACGGGGCACGAAATTTCGTCCCTCACGGGTAGAAGACAAAACGGGTGTCGCGCTGTGCAATTTCCTGCAGGCAATCTCGCGTGCTTGGAAGTTTGAGGTCTGTTTTCGCTGCTGCTTGTTTTGATTTGCAACGAACTGCGTTGTATACTTAGCTTCAGAAGGAACAGCCTGTTATATTAGAAGAAAAAAAAAAAGCTGTTTTGCAATATACATGGTTGCGCGGATTGAAGACTTGTTGCGCAATTGTTATAAATGTGCTTTGGCCAAGTACACTGAGAAAAAATAAGTCATTGTAAGTGTATTTTAGTGTCTCTGCAAGGCAATAAACATGTCAAAGTATATGCTTTATGCTCGGCTCTTCAATTTGAGATACATCTGCACGATCAAAACTGCTTGACGCCGCGAGGTTTTAATAATATTCAGATGCGAGTGTCGCACGTGTTTCTCTTGGCTTTTCCCGGATACACCTGGTGCAACAGTACGGCATGGAAAAGCAATAGCGTTGTACTTCATCTCATTATAGAGGTAGACCCACAAAATCAACCCACCCGGAGCCGAAAACATTTCACTTCCTCTTTGCTGGCATCTGTAAGGTACAGACTTCACGTCTTCTTGAGAGTACAAACTCTGCATTGTTCCAAGCTTTAAACTTCTGCACAGACTCGAGGAATGGGGGGAATCTGCATTTAGCCAGGTCTCTGGCCATCGGGAAAGGGGAGAATCAACCTTTCATTCCTTTCCAACCGCAATTCGCTCTCGGGGCCACGGAAACCAGTCAAGCGGAGCCAACCGTGTAACGCTGCACGTTTGTCACCCTTCATGTGCGCGAAACTACTCGCATGGTGCATCGATCGAGCACAAAAAATGTGCCTCGGAAGGCACCGTGCTTTCAGTATGGTGCCTGGAACGCGTGTCTGACCGGTGCGTTTGGTGTCCTATACCATCCGTACGACAAAAGTGGTCCCAAAGTGGCAACAAACGACATCGCAAAAGCCCAGGTGTCACGCCGTCGAACATCCGACGTCGATAGTTGGTTGTAGAAATGCCGGCGAAGAGCACTGACGAACGCGAGTGTCGTCGTCATCGCGGCGTCCCAACTCCCGGCTTCCGAATCTTTCGTGGCCCGTCGAGCCGGAGAGCGAGCAACCTGTGGCAGGATGGGCGTCTTCCACGTCCTCCACCACCGCTGCGACGCCGCCGGGATCGCAGTTGGCGATGACGCGACCCTCTTACGACGTCATTGGGCAGAAATCGAGGGACCGCACGGTCGGCGCGCCGGTCGGGGACATGTTCGGGGCACCGCGCTTTCGGGTCGCTCGTAGATTTTGAACGGACCTTCGACCCGAGGCGAAGCTGGTGAACGTTATTTTATAAACGGGGCGCTCTTTGCCCCCGTCTTTCTTGCGCTGTATGTGCCATCGTGCCACCTTGCGGGTTAGCCAGAGTTTAAGGTGCGGCCTCGATATGATCGTCGCCACTAAACAATGAGGAATGGTTTGCACGACGAACGGTTTCCGGCCCTCTGAGCGTCCGTCCAAATGTGCTTCGCGCGAGCTACAAAGGGTTAGAAAACGCCCGGAAAGGAGTTTGTGCCACCTTGGAAGACCGTTAAACCTCATTTCAAAGTTGGCAAGTCTTAAAATTCACAAATTTTGTCCACTGCAGTGTCTGAAACTACAACATTGGAGACCGTGGTGGTGCTTTTTGATGCGGACGAGAGGGGAGAACGAGGCAACAACGCTAACTTTGACGGTTTATTATGCAGAAAAACGTGGGTATAAATACACTGCGCCATCGCGTCACTCGACCAATACCCTGCCCTGCCGCTGTTCGCAAGAACTGGGTCTCTTTGTCCGCCAGATTGATCGAAGCCACGCCGACGCGGCAATCCCCGTAACATTTTATTGGGTCTGCCTCTACAATTTCTTGTACCGTTTTATCTTTGTGTCTATTGATGATCGTGCACGACTTAACTCTGGTTTCCATCCACAGTCGTGACAGTGCATAGACAAATGGCCGTCCCGGTGCCCACTCACTTTTTGGTTGTGTTTGCATAATCTATCGCTGACACATCTTCCTGTTGGTCCCACGTATTTCCTGCCACACGTCAGCGGGATCTGACAGACTACTCCTGCGCATGCTACAGGGCCTACCGGGCGTTGGGGAAAGGGTTTGTCTGTCTGCACATCTTGGAGAGTTTTTGGTGCCAAGAAAACCACCTTCGTGCTAACCTGATTTGCTACCTTAAGATTGTGTGCGGTACTGAGCATGTATGGTATAACTGCCACTTTTTGTTTCTTTCGGGCTGTGTCTTGATCTGCGACTGCCCTCTACTTGTAGCTCCTTTAAAACCCTTTCAGCAGCAGACGCTAAGAAAGACTCCGAAAAACCGGCTGCCACTGGGCATCCCGACTGTTCCTTCAGACCTGAAGGTATTGTATGCTGACACGACTTCCTTAGGCCGTTCATAAAGCCTAAATTTAAAATTCCTCTCAATGAGTTTTGAATGGGCTGCCTAAAGAAGCATCGCAGCTCGTTTGTAGCATGTGCAGAATGAGTAGTTTATCAAGTCCCGCTGACGTGGCAGGAAATACGTGAGACAGACGGGAAAATGTGTGAACAATAGATTACGCGAACACAACCAAAACGTGAGTGGGCAAGTGGACAGACATTTGTCGACACTGTCATGACTGTGGTTGCAAACCCGAGTTCAACTCAGTAGACACAAGGATAAAACGGTACTGGAAATCACAGAGGCAGACCTGATCAAAAGTTACGTACAGGGATTGCCGCGTCGGCATGGCTTCAATTGATCTGGTGGACAAAGAGACCCAGTTCTTTCAAAAAGCGGCAGGGCACAGTAATGGTTAAGTGATGCGATGGCGCAGAGTATTTATAGCCGTGTTTTTCTGCATAATAAACAGTTGAAGTTAGCGCATTGTGTTGTCCTCTTCGCCCCTCTCGTCCATGTCAAAAAGCGCTACCATGTTCTTAGCTTCAGCACCAACTCGTCCAACAAGCACCATTGTACAACATTAGAGATGCCTGAAAGAAACGTGGGATTGCTTGACTGCAAAGATCTCCGAGAGAGACACTGATGAAAATTTTTGAACCTTTGGCAGCAAAACATGTTTTTACTGTGAAATTAGCACATAATAGTGTTTATACAATGCAATCCACTTATAATGATGATGAGAAAAACCGAAAATTCAATCGTTATAACCGATTATTGTTGTATCTGGACTAGAAACTGATCGTCTCTAGTCTAGAAACTCTAATAACTGATCGTTATAAGCAGTACATCATTATATGCGGTATCGTTATAAGTGGATTCCACTGTATTGTTCGCAATTCCTGGCTGTTTTTTTTTTTTGTCAAAAGATTGCCTCAAAAAATTTAAAAACAGTTAAATTTTTCTTGTCTTCATGAGCGTCGGCAACAATCGCAAGATGGCTCATGTTCTTGGCAGCCAAAGCTCTTCTCAAAGAAGCGAGCTTGTGCCTGTGCGTTTGTCGGGAAGAGAGTGAGCCCCACTTCATTAAAAATAAAACATAAAAAATTTTGACAGCTACAGAATTAGTGTCAGCTACTCTGGTTCTTCAAATAAAATTAAGATGTCATACCTAACAGAATCGGTAACTGTTGGCGCAGTTGTTAATGTACTGAAAATCTTGCTGGGACTTCAGAGTAGAATGCCATTGGCTATCACTATGGTAACATGATCACTTATGCCAACCAATGGGAGTAAGGCGCCACTTGAGAGGGAGCCCTGCACGTCACTTCCATGTCACATTCTCACATCTGTCATTTTTTTGTTATTTTTTGTGTCACTTTTTTTACATCGTTAGCTTTTAACATATTCTGTATTAGAAAATGATAGAAAATATATAACCGTAAAATACCGTGGAAGTGTCCACTCCATATTAAACGTCAAGTGCCCGATTTGACTGGACAAGTGCCCATGTCTAGATTAACCCAGTTTTCAGTGGAAGCGGGATGGGTCCTTCTTCGGCATTTTATGGCAGGTCTAACGTGGCTTTCAGTCTGGGTCAAGTCGGGAATTCTCCTCGGATTGCACGTTGCAAAAGAACTGTAGAAGCTCGCCGTCGACATGCGCTTGGCAGCCGCACACACACCTATGGCCGTTTTGCTTTACGTGCGAGACTGCAAGCAAATCTGAAGCTACCAGTATGAGCATGTCATACTGACTTGAACGATGCCTGCACTGCACGAGCGCACGTGTTCGGCAGGGATGCTGAAATCCCATAACTTTTTTAACTATTGCGCTGCGCTCACACGTAAATGGCATACAGGGCTGCATTCCCAAAGGATTAACTTCTGAAATACTTGCGAAAATGTTTTGGCTCCTGAAAAACCGTAATAAAAGCGACACGAGTCGCAACTCGTGAAAACAGATATTTGCACGCACGGATGCATCGGTCACAGTTATTGCTGTCTACCGACCGGTGTCCCCACTCGAACTACTAGAGAGTTTTATGGAACCATTTTCGCACATCCGATACGGTATGGTTGGGCCCTCTGGTACGAACTGTGCGTGCGCTACCACAGAAGACTCTCGGAATGGATGCTGTACGCCTTCGGCACGCCCAAAATGGATGCTGTATGTACACTTTCAAGCTGCTTTGGAGCCACTGTAAACGACTTTATTCTCTTAGGTTCAATATTTTGCAAGCTAAGTCTGGGATTCGGGAATATTTTGCAGGCACAAAACTTGGCGATTTGGAGTGATATGCAAAGTATTCCTCACCATAAAGCGATATATTCACGCGATAAATATTTTCTCAAGTAGCAAAAATGAGGTCCTCGCAAAAGTTAAGTCGTTTACACTGCTTGGAGTACATGGTATCCATAATTTTGAATAATACCATTTCCACAATTACATTATCCTTGGAGTGTGCACTGCAATTAAAATATACTTTCTATACTAGGGGCCGATTTGTGGGAATTTTGCTCGGGGTGTGCAAAGAGATGCAAGGTTACAGACAGGTTTAATGTTGAAGACGGTTCTAACGTCACAAATAAAGACAATTGCCATTTCACAAAAAAAGAAAACACTTAAAAAAAAGTTTGTTTTTTTGTTAAACGAAAAAACTTGTTCTTGGGGGCTGGAGGAGGGGGAACACTTCCAAGTATGCGCACTTCAAGTAAACTTGGCCGGTATACACTGATTACAGCTCTGGGGCTTTCGGAGGACAAAGTACTTGTGCTTTTACTATGATTTGGTTAAGGCCCATTCACACTCTTGCGAACGAGTACGACCGAGAGAGACGAGACCTGTTGAAACCTCTTAAAATTTCTTAGGACGAGAGAGCACACTGGCACGCTAGCGCCATCTATGATGTGACCCTGGAACTGAGTTTCACAAGAATGAAGGTTTTGTGGGATTTCCGGGGTCAAATGTGCGTAACACCTATGAGGAAGGTTTGTTTATAACGTTGACAAAATTTTTTCGAGCCAAGAAAGAGAGGATAATTCGCGAGAGAAATAGAAAATATGCCGGACCGCCAAGCTTGTACTGCTACCCAATAGATGGTGCCAGTGTGTCCTCGTAAGCGGTTTCAAAACACCCAGTTCTAAGAGGTCGCAAAAGTGTGAACACGCCTTCATCTTCCTAATAGCAGACTAGAAGTATATCAAGTATGCCTTTATTATGCTGTCTTTTGCTAAGGGACAGCGCATTCAAACCCATTCACTTGATGGGATGTTTTTGACCTCCAGCAGATGGTAGACTCTGGGGGTAATCCTGTCGCCAAACAGTGGGATAACCAGTCTCCGTCCAGGAGGCATAGCAACTCAGGGTAGCACTTTGCTCAAAGGTTACCGTAGCCTGCATTATTAGTTTGGAATTCATCTTGTATCCGTGGAGGGCAATCTTCAAGATATCCAGTCACGACCCATTCTCACCACAACAAACTCCACGGGCTAAGAAGCGTGGAAACTGACGTTAGAGGATTGTCAAGTGTTGATATTGTTAACTAACTTTTATTTTCGTGGGCTCGACATTTAGCAATATTTGGAAAGTGTAGTTTTCGAGAATATTTAACACATAAAAGATTTCGTAATTTGGAGAAATATTTTATATATATGTTACCGTGGAGCAATATATTTGCAAGACCAATTTTTCTTGCAAAAGTCGTGAATTTTGTGAAAATTACTCGGTCCTTCAAAAAATTGGGTCTTTTACAGTATGTTTTTGAAGGTGGTCACATTCATCCGTACGACGTTGGGAGATGGTAAAGCAATTTCTACATTTCCTGTTCAGTCACGCATACGACTGCCCCCAAACTATACCCTTCTTGATCTGTACAACTCGACTGCGCAATCGCTGCAGCTTTTAACTGCAAGGCATTGTGCGTTGTCGTTGTTGTTCCCGCTGAACCTGTTTCCATGTTTTAGAGCGCAGCTCTTAAGTGTCCGTTTCCGGCTTGAGTGGCGTCGGCATAACCACGTGGTGCATGATGGGTAAATTTGGCCGCTAAATTTAGCGGAAAATTTTCCCCGCTAAATTTAACGGACAGTTTCCCAGCTATATTTAGCGGAAAAATTTTCTCCGCTAAATCTAGCGGAAAATTTCCCCCGCTAAATTCAGCGGAAAATATTCCCCGCCAAATTTAGCGATAAAAGTTCCCCGATAATCTAGCAGAAAATTTTCCCCTAAATGGGGGGCGAGCAGGAGAGGTGGAGGGGCATAGCCCCCTCTCCGTACCTTCCCCTCCTCCTCCTCAAGAGCTGCGCTCTAATTTGGCGTTACAGGGAGTTGTACACGGCTTTTATTTATTTCTATGTTGTCAAGCCTCTCTTGGACACGACTTTGTCGGCACCTCTCGAACGATGCACCCGACAAATAGTAGTTGTCAAATGCAAACTGCAAATTCACTTCAATGACCTTTGGGTGCCTAAACTGGAAGAACACGCTCGAGTTGGGAGAGCTGTAGCAGACCAGAAAAATTTTGGTGCTAGCAATTTGGGGAACCCCTGTGATTTCAAGATTGCAGTTGGACAGTCAGCGAGTTGCGACACAAAAAGTTTATTGCACCTCAGTGTCACGGGCTCGAGTAGGCTCCAAAAGATAAAACTGCGCACGACACAATGGCGTCTAGTCTTGGCAACATACCACTGCACTGTTGGAGAGGTCACTGTACGACGTGTTTTGTATACTCCGGGTTCCGGGCTTCGTGGCAGTATTTGATCAGGTAGGTGCAAGTGAGCCTCACTTGCAGGTCTTTACTAACAACATAGTCGAAAGCTGCCTGCAAAGCAACGGTAGAACATGATAACAGGCTAAACTGGGAAGCATAACGGCGCTTCCAGCGAGCAGTTTCAGATATGTTGCATTATTAAGAACTTGGGGATTCACCTTGAAAAGAATGCATTTTTCTTGGAGATCTGGGAACGGGTAGCTTTTGCCCGTTCGATTTAGTTTCGATTTCTGCACTTCTCCATACGAATATATTTTCTAAGTATGAGCACCTTCAATGAGCTTCCTCAAAATTGGGTAAAACCATGTTTGCTCCTCCAAGAAAGTCTGCCTGTACACAGTCTCTATCTCTAGATACAAAAGTCAAGCTTTTTTGCTTCAAACAGAATACAACTTGTAAACTGCAGAGTTCCAAAGTTGAAAATGGGGCAAACAAGTCATTCCTCAAAGTTTCGTGAAATTAAAGTGGGTCTGGTAGGCAAAGCGAAGCTAAATCAAATGGCCTTAGTCTCCAACCTCTAATGGCTTCTACCGACTTCTAAGAACTTTTCTATAAGACGCCGACTGACAGCCGTCTCATTTCACGACAAATGCCCGGAACTCGGAATCTCCTTCCTCATTGACATATTTGTTGACGTACGGACAGGTGACCCTAGCTTGAAAACTGTTTGCTGCCACGAAGTTGAAAGCCGCCTGCAAATAGAGATGAAGTGGTGACTACCGGGTCGTCAAACGACGTTTCGTCGACACATAGTTTCGCTGACACTGCGACATTCCCTGAACAGTTTCTTTCATCAAAAGGTGCCTGCCTTCGTTTCATTGACACATTCCTGGTACTTTAATGTTTCGTTGACAGCCTCTTTCCATGCACATTGCCTCGGCCACTGAAGTCCCGACGGTAGCCTCGCTTACCGTACCCTCCGGGGTTCCAGCAAGTCTTGCCGGGGCAATCGCGCATAGTGGGGTCTGCTTGGATGTCTAGGACTAGGGCTCCGAGATATGTTTTAGTTCTATCGGCACTGCCCGGGTGGTCCACTATAGTTTTGGTATACTTCCAGCGAACGAAACGAAGAAAGTGGTCCAGTCCGCCGTATGAGAAAACATGTGGTCGACGAAACATTACACCAGCAGTTGTCCGCAAAGGGAGATTCCATGAGAAATAGTGTCAACGAAACATGTCCACACGAAATGTGTTTTGACGAAAGAATACGGACCCTAGAGGAAGAGATTGCTTGGGCACCGTAATTAGAAGTCCCCATGCAAAATGGTTGACTAACGGGCGTAACTACGGCAGGTCATAAATTCCAGAACCTTTCCAGCGTGTCCCTATGTACCGCAGTCATATTCCCGACACTGGCAAAATTATGGATTCTAAAACCATCAATATCAACGATAATGGCACTCACCCCATGCCTACTTCGTTCCATAAGTTGGCACGTTTGGATTCGTATTTAGCGCTTGCAAGAACAATAGGCACATGTGTGGAATGACACTTCAACCAGATAGATTTTTGAGAGACACACTCTAGGAGTTGCAGTCTGCCACAGGGAAGCTGGAACAATGTTTGATAAAGGTAAATGTGTATTGCAGCAGATAAGATTCGATGCTGCTTTTCTCCTATAAATATTTAGCTGTTGTTGAGGCCGCTGCCCCGTTTTCTTCTTTTTTCGTTGGCCCTAGGGGTCAATAGTCTCGGGAACGTTTTTTCGCCTGACCATTTTCAGTGTCGTTTTAATCATTATAAAACTAGACTGGGACGAATTGAGAGCATTCTTTCTAGTGAGGATGTTGCAAAAAGGAAAAAAAAAATGCCTCCAAAGGAAACACACACAAAAGAAAAGAAAGATATTTCGACTTTCTCCTGAATCCTACGCAATCTTCCTGAATTTACGCCCAATGCCCGCGACTTTCAGTGAGTGAAGACAACGCCTGATGAAGAACGTCGGCTGAGGGTTTGTCAGGGTACCTTGGCCAAATGCTTTGCAATGCCTTTTCCTCGAAGTGCTTCCGGAACTTCGGTGTGAACTAAGTCCAGGGTTTTTGGATTGAGGACTTCGTACTGAAGGACAGCCTTGTCTGCAATGTGAATGAGAGAGGTTCCGAATATCAGCGCTGCATACAGTTGCAGCTACCGAGAGCCACTGAATAGTGTTACCGTTTCCAAGTTTGATGAAGAATTCTCTGTTGGCTTCGTCATGTTCAACCTGAAAAGACTGCTCAGACAGGCATCGAGTGGTTGACATAGTCGGGCGAAATTTGATCGGACTAAATTTGAGCGAAGTTGAGGCCAGATATTTCAGATAGCGCGCAGCCATTTTGAAAACCGATGATTAGCCGGATCTTCATAAGCCGGATTTTCAGACGATAGGAGACGTGTAGAAGACCGGAGTAAAAAGATTACAATCATTTAAGTATTTGACTTTATTAAGTCATGTCTTTCGTTTTTAACTTAAAAGATAAAACAGTTGAGTATAAACAGAAACGCTAGGTTGACGACTCCACCTGGCTCCACACGCAGGTGTAACGTTGCGGCGTAGCATCACCGAGGACATCACGCCTTGTAAACAAAACATGGCGTCTCCCGCGCTTGACGAAGTCGTTGAGGTTCGCTTCGTTGGAAACGACGATGTCTTCGAGCACGTCTACAACCTGTCGGAGGCCAGGAGCCCCAAAAAAGGAGGTAAAATATATTGTCTCGTCCCAAACAATATTTATCAAAGTGACGTTTATTTCCAACTAACTTTGTTCGGCCCTCGTGCTACGCTACCATGAAAAGGTCCTGTACGAGATTCATACGAGAACTACAGTATGCACCAACAAAAGTGTTACCACTCACAGCAATGCCCAACGCGACATCATTTCTAACCGAATGTTTTCCTGTTTCCAGCGGGAAAACGGCTAGCGTCCAAAACGAGGTCTTCGGTTCAGGAAGAGGACACTTTGATTGATGTGCTGACGGAAGAGGCGCCCGTACCAACAGGTGTGTATTCAATTAGATGTAATCATCGATGGCAGCCTTCCGACGACATTCGTCCGTCAAAAATTATGCGTTTCAACGTTTTGTCTAAACTCTTAGCTCTACTTTTCCTTACTATCTTCCCTTCCTTTGTCTCTTCAGGTCTTCATGCCAATGGTGACAGCGTAACAGGGAGGCAAATGTTTAATTTGAAGTGCACGCCGACCGCAAAGCACGGTAAGGCTCCGGGAAGCGCAGCAATTAACTTTCTTCCAGATCCCCTCATGGCCACAGACTGGGTGTCACTCTTTTGTAACAGCCCCACATAGGGCGCCCAAATGTGGGCTTTTAACCGCGGGTATATTCAAGTTCCGTTCCACCCCCCCCCTCCTCTCCCCTTGCAACATGCTCGCATACCGACTGCTTCGAGAAACCCTTGTTTCCTCTCGCCTTCCCCAAGGCATGGACTGCAGGTGGGCCAACAGCGTGCTTCGAGACCATACTTGCCATGCGCCCTTGCGTTGGTGACCGTTGCTCCTGCTTTGAAGCTACATGGATCATCCTTTTCACCTAGCCCATCCAGTCACAATATCTTTTATTGTGGAGCGAACGACGACAGATTTTTACACTGCAGTGCCAGTCAAAATCATGCCACGGGAGCGAACAAACTGGCTGTGCTACTCCAGCCATTGACACATTCTAGAACCTGGGCGAACATTAGAGAGTCCTGGCCTGCAACTGCGGCATAGGTGGGGCCCTGTCTTGCTCTTGCCACTAGCCCCCAGAGGTCGTGGCCGGAGAGGCCAAATGAGCCGGAGAAAATGGGACGAATGGTGGTGGTAGAGTTGTCACAGGGGGTCGAAACAGAGATGCCACGGACTTGTAACGGGCTTGAGTCAAATGCAAAGTGAGCCACCTGACTCTCTTGTAGGTGCATGTCTCTGTCGGTGAGGAGGCGACACAATCTTCGAGGGAGAGACAGTTGTCCCTGATCCCAAGCACCTCGGCTGAGAATGTCCTAGTGATTCCCGCTTGAGATGCGGGTAATTTTTTTCAGCAATTTGACGTTGTAACACCAGCAACATGAACCTTCTACGTTCTCCCACAGCTCCTTTGCAGCTGGATAAATGGAAGTGGCTAAACCTTTAGTAGGGGGCAGTATCTGTCACCGCTTGGGCTAGAAACATTTACACCCCTCAATGTCGCTGGCTGCACAACCGCTGCAACAGTGATAGGCTATTTTAGTCATTGTCATCTTTAGAAATGCAATTCTTTTCCGCTACATGGACCATTTTCACACAAATGTGCATTATACAAGCATGTTTTTATGTTTTAAGCACAGTCAAGGCTTTCTTGAGGACAGCATCATGGGTGCTTGTCTCGTGTGTCTTTTTTATCTTCCCTCTCTTTGGCTGCGGCACAGCACTTTTGGCTCACATGCTGGTGTCTCGGGTTCGATTCCCGGCACTGTTTGTCGTTTCATCTTCCTTCATGTTGCGGCTCTTGTAAAGAGCCGCAGCACCTTACGAAAGGTATCACCGTGGGCCACATCGACAAGCTTTATGACACAGCTGCAGTCGCTGCCCTTTCAAAAGAGCCTACTTCATCACAGCACCAGAAAACGCCGCCCTTGCAAATTGACATCGACCTGAAGCTTCCTGCTAGTGAACAACAGCCTTGAGCTTCTTGGGGGAATTCAGCGAGCGCTTTGCCTCGTCCTCAGGGGTCTGACAAACGACGGTAGCGAAGCACCGCATTGACGATGGCGCCATCCCTGTTCACCAGTCGCCATACCAAGTCTCTTTGAAAGAGAGACAGCTTTCTCAACAGCAAGTTCAGGAAATGCTCGACGACGACATCATCCAACCCTCGGGCTGTTTATGGGCCTCTCCACTTGTGCTTGTAAAGAAGGACGGAACTCTAAGGTTCTGCGTGGACTACCGTCGACTGAACGCCGTGACCAAAAAAGATGGGTATCCGCTTCTTCGCATTGACGACATGTTGGACTGGCTGCGCCACTCCCGATATTTTTTGTCGATGGATCTGAAGAGTGGCTATTGGCAGGTTGAAGTCGACGAATGTGACCACGAGAAAACTGCCTTTGTCACGCGCGACAGACTGTACAAGTTCAAAGTGATTCCTTTCGGACTTTCTACAGCACCATCCACCTTCCAGCGTGTCATGGACACCATTCTAGCAGGTCTGAAATGGCAGAGCCGCCTCGTCTACTTCGATGACGCCGTCATAATTTCACGGGATTTTGACGAACATCGCAGACACCTTCGGGCCGTGCTTCAAGCCATCAAAACCGCGGGGCACACTTGAGCCATCAAACTGTCATTTCGCCTACGGCAAACTCAAGTTCCTAAGTAACTTTGTGAGCAACGAAGGTGTTTGCCCTTACCCCACGAAGGCGCACATTGTGACAGGGTTTTCTCCGCCGTCCGACAAGAAGGTCATGCGAAGATTTCTCAGACTTTGTTCATACTATAGGCGGTTTATTCAAGATTTCGCAAAGTTGTACACGCTGCTGACAGTTCTGACAAAAGACGCTGTAAAGTTTTGGGTGTACAAAAAAGGAGCAACAGTCCTTCGACGAGCTGAAGCAAAGACTTTAGACTCCTCCGATTTCAACCGGTTTGCAGAGACCAAAATTTACACGGAGGCGAGTAAGAGGAGGGGTGCTGATCCAACTGCAGGAGAGCACAGAACGAGTAATTGCCTACGCCAGTCGTACACTTTCAAAGGCCAAGAGCAATTACTCGACGACCAAGAAGGAATGCCTTGCCGTCTTCTGGGCGATAACCAAGTTCTGCCTGTACCTGTACGGGGGCCCATCCTAAGTCTTCACAGACCACCATTCGCTCTGGTGGCTCACCAATATTAAACACCCGTGAGGACGCCTTGCTTGCTGGAGTCTCCGATTTCAAGAGTTCGACATGACTGTCGTGAAGCAGTGTAACGCCGACTGTATCTCTCGAGGTCCCGTCAAATTAACTCCCGCTAGCACTGCTGACGACAGCGACGAGGTTTTCATCGGAGCCGTCAACATGAGTGACATGGCAGCACTCCAGCGGGGCAACCCTCAACTCCGCGAGCTGATCGAGCATTTGGAGGACTGAGGAGGTGCAGTCCCAAGTATCTTCTCTAGAATACTGCTAACCTGTGTACTGGTACAAGGCATACTTTATAAAGAAAACTTCGGCACCAGCAACTCAGCGCGGTGATTGGTGATTCCCGGTGGTCTTGGTGAAGACATTTTCCTAGCCTGCCATGATGATCCTACAGCTGGGCACCTTGGATACAGTAGGACACTCGCCAGGATTTGCGAGAGATCCTACTGGCCCAAGCTCTTGAAGACTGTCCATATCTATGTTTGATCGTGCCATGAGAGTTAATGGTGCAAGAAGCTGCCGACCAAGACAGCGGGACTTCTCAAGCCAGGTGTGTTTCGGACCACACCGTTGCAGCAGATTGAAATGGATTTAATTGGACAGTTTCCACCATTGATGCAAGAAAGCCGGTGGATCATCGTCGCGGCCGATTATCTCAGACGGTATGCCGACACCAAAGCCCTTCCGTCCTGAACTGCAGTGGAGCTTTCCAAGTTCTTCATTGAATCCGTTGTCCTCAGGCACGGTGCCCCTAAAATACTGATTACAGACCGAGGGTCTTTGTTTTTGGCACAGCTAACTCAAGAGATCCTAGCTCAGCCAGACCAGTCATTGTCGAACGACGGCGTACCATCTGCAGACAAACGGGCTGACGAAACAGCTAAGCAAGACCATCGCCGACATGATCTTCATGTACGTCGACTTGGAGCACAAGACGTGGGACAAGCTGTTACCCTACATCACATTTACCTATAACACGGCAGTGTAAGAGACCACCGGAGCGATACCCTTCCAGCTGGTGCATGACCGAAAGTGACGATTATGTTCAACGCGATGCTGCCTCATGAGCCAGGTGACGATGCGTGCGACACCGCCCAGATGGTGGTCCAACGGGCAGAAGAAGTCCTCCAGCTTGCCCGACTCTGGATTCAAGACCAACAACGCGTCGACGCTGGCCGCTACAGCCTTAGTCGCCGGGTCGTCCACCTCCGGCCCTGCGACAGCGTGTAGGAGTGGACGCCCATCCATCGCTGTGGCGATAGCGAGAAACTGTTCAAACGGTATTTTGAACCGTACAAGGTAATTCATCGCCTTGGGAGCTCAACTGCGAAGTGGTGCCCAACGGAACGCAAGCATCATCACGATGCCAACCGCGACCCGAGGTTGTTCACGTCGTTTGACTTGGGCCATTCTACACTCGATAGGACTGTGGATGTTTCGTGCTCCAGATGACCTTTAGTTTACCATTCTTTTGATTTGCCTTGTTTTGTTTCGTGTTACATCGGGGCAATGCGCTTTTCAAAGGGGGTTGAGTAATGCTGCACGCTTATGTAGCCGAGTCGGCAGCGCGTTTGGCTCACGCAGGTGGCTCGGATTCGATCCTCTGCACTGAGCATCGTTTCATCCTTCTTGATGAAAGTGGAAGATTCGAGAAGGTTGGAGAACTGGTAGACTATTCATGCTCAGAATGTATAGTTCAAGAAGGATAAAGGCAGATTATTTTAGGCTCCCAGGAAAGGCTTAAAAGAAGCTGCATCATGCAATACAAGTCAGTCTCGCCCTTGCGCTCGATCGTGCTACTTCGGCGCCTTCGCCCTACCTATTTGTATTTTTGTTTTCGGCACAAGTTCGCAAAATTAAACATTTAGTTTCTGTTCATTCGTCGCCTCATCACCTGTCATTCGTGAAAATATTGCTCTTATATTGTTCAGTCAGATCAAACAGGGGCTTACCCTACCGTGTGCTCCTTGCACTTGTCTGCTCTCTGAGCTAACGAACTGCCATCCCCATTTTTTTTGTGATCATCTCCAACTTTTTCATGGGCACTTGGCCAGTATTTTACGGTGTTTACACCCACGGTGTCTTGGGGAGGGGTCTGTCGGTGAGCCTCTTCTCATTACCGGTACTCAAAGTTTTATGCGCATGTGTAACATAGTATTTTTCTTCTTAAAAGCCTTTGACACCTTTTGTACGTGGTAAGTTTGACTCTTTTGTTAGAATCGTGTGTGCGTCCAAATGAGTGGACCTGCTGTGCCAGTTGATATGGGAGTATACGCTGCAGGGTCACAGTTGGAACTCTCACTGCCATGAGCTCAAGCTTGACATATTCACGGTTTAAACCTACGCACTTCAATGCACAACTTAGACAACATTAAGACACCGTTTAAACTTATCAAGTATACTTTTTCTTGTTTTTTTCTCCAATGTCATGCTAGCATAGCGACTTTTTTCAATGCAATGTGTGCAAGATGGAATGGAAGACTTGCTCTTTTTGTCACACGCTTGCCAGCTGTCAAGGTGGCACCAAAGACTCCGACTTCAGCCCGACGGAAAAGTTCGGTGACATCCTCTCAGCTCCCGGTGCAGAAAGAGACGCCGTACAGACTCCGCAGGAAAATCAAGCAGAGTAAGGACAACCTATCTTACGGATTGTTTTTCTTTTCAATAACGTTGATATCGACGAGTGTCGTCTATGGGCCACGGAAATTTGTCATACTTTTTCTTTCCTGCCTTCTTTTTATTCCTGTTTATGTGAGGACAACTCAATGAGTTATGTACAGCTAAGTTATGTACAGGAAGTATCTGTTGCCACGTGTATATGCGGCGAAAGGTACTTCCTGAACTTCTGCCTGACCACTTTGGAGAAAATGGTTTGAGTCTGCCGTACTAATGGCAACTTTGTGGTAGTTGATGAAGCGAAGCGTTGATGACGTATGCCCAAGCGGATGGCATGTGGCCTGTGCATTCCCACAGTTCAACACGCACATCATTGAGTGTGACATGGGTGGTGCAACCGTGTTTGTCTTGACCTCGGTTCCAATCAGTGTTTTCAACCAATAGCTTCATACATATAAAACCCTTCGTGGACCTCCGTTGCTGGTGTTGGTGTTGGGGTTTGTGCCGGTGTGTGAGAGTGCATCGGCAATAGAGCCGCAGGCACAGCTGTTAGTTTGATGTCGCAGCAGGTGTGACCGATGGCGTTGCACCATGTGGAAAGGGGGATGAGAGGAGTGAGGGAAGGGTGAGCACAGTGCTTAATCTCCCCTTCCACTCCACATGACAGTACAGTAGAAACTGTGCTTTAGTAACCTTTATTGCATTTGGTACAATGTCTAAGCGAGGCAAGTTTTTTTGGCACACATTTCAAACAGCGTACCTTGTATGGTCCAGCTGTTTCTGTGCCACAGTCTATTCTTGCCATCTAAACTGAAACAAATAAAGAGCAAACAGTGACCAGCAAAGAAAGAGTCTTTGTTTGCTATTGATGTACGTAATTGATATGTGTAATGAATGCCAAATTTTCATTACCACTGTCAGGAGGGCGGCAGTTAGATTGCCATTTAACCCACAGGACTGTGTTAAGGTGTATTCTGCAAATACATGAAAAGAAAAAGTATAATCTTTTGCTGCCTAGTCTTTTTAAATACAACTCCATGCCACTTTGGTTCCAAAGAATTCCGTGATGCTTCGATGTAATTGTCTGCTGGTCATTCAGTTATTACAACTATTTATTTGTTACCCGAAAAAGTTTTCTAAAAAGTTAATCGATGAATGGATGGATATTATAATGGCTGTACCCTTTATAACATCCAGATTTCGGCAAAATAAGATCAACCAATAATGTGCTGGAGATTTCCGTTTCTAATTGGTCCTGCAAAGCTGTCTGTTTTCAATGCGGAAATAATCAAAATGGATTGGCCAGGAGTTCTTATTTTTTATTACATCGAAAGATACCAAGTAACTTTTTTTATTTTGGAATCCACCTTTTTTAACTCATGGTCTCAGGGTAACAGCTTGCAAGTAGTTTTGCTTGATATTGATTAAATTGTGCTGCTATGTCATCCATTAAAGGGATACTGCAACAAAATTTCGGCGCTCATTTTTTGGTCTATATGTGTTCAAAGGAGCAGTATCACATCGAACATACCAATATATTGTAAAAAAAGTCTCGAAAAGGAACTTTAAAACAAATTAATTGATTAGCAAAGAGCACCTGGTGGATGTCGCTAACGCCTCGCTCGTAATGCCCGTCTAGGAACCTTGGCAGCTAGTGATGGTGGTGTCTTGCCTCCGGCCACGACGAGAGGAGAAGGGAAGGAGGAACTCCCCTTTTCCGGAGAATGCCTTCTGTGGGTCGCAGAAGTCGCTATTGTCCCCCTACAAGATTATAGAAGATTAACCCGTCACTCAAAATTTGTACAAACGCAGCCGCTTCGGTGGCTGGAACGACTAGGCCATCCTCTCGACGTCAGCCTTGCCGTAGCTTTGCTCGTCCCGAAACGACCTACGTCACGATTGCGTTGGACGTCACGTGGTCTCCGCTGGGCCTTCTCCGACCGCTTGCCAGAGTGGGCCGTTTATAACGAATAATACAGCCACCAGGCTTAAAATACAAACGTGCGATTGTCATTTACGGATATTGTGGATCATATTCAACCTACGGATTAAATCGGGAGTACCACAGGGATCAACAATAGGACCTTTACTGTTTAATATTTACGTAAATCAAATTGGAGCACTATCTCTTGCATCTCGAGTGTATCAATATGCAGATGATACAGCCCTGGTACTAGAACATAGCGATGAAACAAGCGCACTTTCAACTTTTCAGAAAGATATAGAATTATTAATGACATGGTTTTCTAACAATCATATTTTTGTTAATTCTAGTAAAACTAAGTTGATGTGCTTTCATAGTCCGTACAAACATGTTAACTTGTCGACTCCACTGTTTCTTCATTCAGATAGTTGCAAAACTTGTAGCTGCGTACCTTTAGATTATGTTCTAACAACCAAATATTTAGGAATTCATCTGGATGTAAATCTTTTATGGAATGATCATGTTGAATATATCATCAAAAAAATGAGAACCGTATCAGCCTATTTGTACAGGTTACGTAGTGTTTCGAACGTTTCTCTGAGAAAGAGGGTATATAACGCACTGGGTGAGTCTATCCTACGTTATGGAATCTCGCTATACGGAATGTGTTCCAACTATAAAAAATCAAAAATCGATAATATCCTCTATAAAATTGCTTGCAATATCACATATGGGACAATGTACGAAGAAGTAGAGAAAAATAAGAAATTGAATGCAGCGGGAGTGTTAACTACTGAGAGATTGCACTGTTATGTAATTTTAGTGAAACATTACTTCAGGAGTGATTTTAAAATTCCTTTAACAAAGGAACGAATTTTGAGGCGAACAGAAAAGTTCATTCTTCCTAGAATTTATACTAAATATGGAAAGAATGCAAGGTCATACTATGTTCCTTTTTATTTTAATAAGTTACCAGAAGAGCTTCATAACCTGGATTCCCTAAAAAGACTAAAACAAGACCTGAGAGAATGGTGCTGCCTGACGATAGGTGACTGAAATGGACCACGTTTTTCCCTTGTTCTCTTGTCGGGTATAGTTCTCTTTGTTTTGGGTTTGTTTAGTTACATGCAAAGAATGCATGCTTTGTTATAACTATGTAAGCAACCTGTTGGACGCCAGGTCCCGCCGACAAGCATACCCATGCTTTTGCGGGCCGGTCTATGTACTGTGTTGAAAACGGGACAATAAAATATTTATTATTATTATTATTATTTTTGAACACGACGGGAATATTTCAAATTTCGTTGAAGTATCCCTTTAAATGATGCCATGTTTTGTATTGCACTGATTACATGCGTATGTCTTGGTTTTTACAGCGGAGCTGTTAAGGGCTAGTTTCCCCAGGATCGTGTCTGTCCTCAAATGGCCTGATGACGCAGAACTCTGGACAGCTGCTGCCAGAGTTCTGGCAGTAGCTGTCCAGACAATTGACAGGCAGCCGGCTTGTCAATTGTCTGGTTGCCGCCGTCACTCATAGATGGCGGCAACTTTTCGAGCCTTTCCACTCTGGCTTGCCGACTTGCGGCCGGCCATTACTTTATTTCCACCATAGTATAGCTTCGCTGGTCTTCCTTCTTCACCAGAGTGGAAAGGCTCAAAGTTTTTTTTCTTGTGTCATTATCATTTAATGCATTACACATTAACGCATTATGCATTAATGTGTTACGCATAGCAGCACAGTTTGGTCAGTATTGTTTGAGTTTAGCTAGCTTTACTTGACTTTCTTTCTTTTACTAGGTGAGAACAGAAGGACCTCCTTTCCTCTTGCCCTTTCTATGAACTTGGGAGGGAAGTTTTGTTCCACAATGGGAACAAGAACGACATCTGAGAGGCTTACCTAGGTCACAGTAGCTCAGTGGAGTCAACAGGATCTAGCTCCCTTTGCTGTTGCCTGTGGGCACGCATGTTCTAACCAGGCGCCTTTGAACGGCTAATTCAGAAAATGGTTTGTTGTTGTGCACCGAGATAAACTGTGTGACACAGCTGGTGCGAACATGGCATCCATGCTTTTTCACATTTTACACGCACAATCTTCATACACCAAAGTTTATTGTCAGAGTTGGTGTCTCCAATGAGTACATTTCACTAATCTAATGCTTTAATGACTACATTAGATACTCTAGATTCATAAATAATTATTTAGTCCAAAGGTGGCCAAGCTGCGACTCTTCGCGTGTTAAAGTGCGGCTCGCGGTTCCCTTCCCTAACACCCCCCCCCCCCCCCCTTTCTCGCCAACTTCCCCGCCTCCCTCCCGGTCACATGAGAATTTTCCCAAAACGAGAAATCAAACGGGTTTTAAATCGAAAGACAGGTTGCGGTTTGGTAGTCTTGTGCTACTGCTACCTTACGTACAGTTGCACTGCTTTTGACTCTGATGGATTGAAAGTAGTTCGAGTTTCATTGATTGCTCTAAACAAAAGTTTGCACCCCCCCCCGCCGCCCCCGGCTCTTGGAAGTTTTGTGGTTCTGCTTGCGGCTCTTAGGTCGGGTCAGCCTGGTTACCACTGATCTAGTCAATCAACTCTATTGTTTTACTTGTAGATCTGTCAAAGATGAAAGAAGAGGAGCGTGGCAGCAGTTCCGCCGAGTCGGATAGTGACAAGTCCTCGTCTGATGACGATGATGAGAAAAGGAACAGTGCTGACATGGTGAGTGCATACGGGCCTTGCACGGTACTCTCTGGTAACTGAGCAGACAATTAATGTGGTAGTTAGTGTGCAGTCAAGAACTAAAAGTGTGCGGAGAATGGCGATGCCTCGGAGCTAGAGTGTAGTTGAAATGTTCCTTAGCATACGGGGGCCCCTAGTCTTGCACCCACACTTATAGGCAAAAGGCAAAATATTGTTGGTTCTTGACTCAAGTTGGTTTTTATAATATTTTAAGTAAATTAACCATCATGTTACTAGAGTTTGATGTCTATTTTTCATTCTTATAAGTAGCCCACACTTTTAATTAGTTTTTTAAAGCTTTGTCATTATTGCCCTATATTCACAGGCAATAGATTGAGATGCAAGTTCATTTCTGATCTTGTGCTGTTAAAATAGGCTTCACACTAATTTTACTACAAGGGGATTAGAAAGACTCTTAGGAAAATGTATCAATTGCACTTCCTGCCAGGGGTTCCCTCCGAATCCAAAGCGCTTGGGTAACATGTTGTCCGTCTACTTCGGTGAGCGTCGACTCAGTATATGGGGTAGTCCTTTTATTCATCCTGTCGCGGCGCTGCTCTTTTAAATGGTGAATCTTGTGGCAATCAAGCTTTTAATGAGCGTGTTTATGCAGCTGTGCTTAGTTGCAGCTGCCTACATCCACTATTGTTTTCATAATTAGTCGGTTTGAAAAGGTTTTTGGTGACCGAGCGTGTTTTCGCCTGCCGCAGCTCGGAGAATGTGGAGCGAAAGAGCTTTCACTGCAGAGGATCAATCCCTACCCCATTTTGATCTGGATGAGCATCATGCCTGCGTGCATTCGTGTAATCCCTACTGTGGGATGCACATTAAAGACTCCAGGGGCCCTAATCTACACGGCGGGACCGAGGGACCGGGCCATCGCCGCCTGCTGCTGTTGGTCGGCTGTGTGGAGTTGACCAACGGCAGCAGGCGGCCTCGATCCTGCCGTGTAGATTAGGGCCGTAGGTTGGCAGTTGCATCGCATTAGCCAAATTGCCCATCTACAGCGAAAGCACCGGGTGCCATTGGCAGACTAACTTCCTGCTCTTTAACCGAGCTTACAACAACTCCGACTCTTTGACTTGCCACATACATCCTGTATTTCTGAAATCATCTTTGATGGTTTTTGTTTTGCACTGCTAGCAATTGTCACTTTCTATTTGACTGCACTGCATACCTTGCAGAACAAAAGGAACCTCCATCCAGTGGCATAGCCAGAACTTATGAGGCTCCAGCTCTTGTAAAATGCAATTCCAGGGTCACCGCATAGATGGTGCCAGAATGCCAGTGTGTACCCTCGTCCTAAAAACTTGTAAGAAGTTTTAACAGACCTTGTCTCTCTCGGTCGTACTCGGTTGCAAGAGTGTGAACGAGTCCTCAGAGTTTCATAATCGCTGACCCTACAGTTGATGGATTTCATGCGGCAGTAGTTGAAAGGAACGTCGTGGCACACTTGCAGAGCATCTGACGTTTTGTAACGATTCACTCGGTTTCGTCCCTAGGATCCCTACGACGAAAGTGGCAAGGGCTATTTCTCGCTTTCTGGGAAGGGCAACACGTCCAATCACACGCTGTCCAAGCTTGGCAGGCCCGTCATGGCCCCTGACGAGATAAACCGCATCCTAGAAGTGGCCTGTGACCCCCACGCCACGCACCGCAAAGCGCTTCTCCGGCAGCACAGGACTCGCTTCTCGCTGTGGTGGGCGCTGCTGAGGTGGGCCTGCTTCATTCATACCTTCGTTTTCTGGGATTTTCATGACGGTGCTTTGTCTGCTCTCGCAATTCAAGATGGCTGTTGTGGCTGATGCTCCGGAGATTCTCCCATCTCCTATACATAGGCGCCGAGTATTTTTCGATTCCTTGGAACATGATTGTTGTCATTTGCAAAGCAAAATAAATGTAGTTTTATTGCTTAGTTTTGTCTTTCAGCCCAGCCGGCACTGCTGCTAGTTTCTTTGCAGGGATGACAAAACCTGGCTGCTAGTCCCCAAGCTTACAGGGCCAAAGCGAGAGCAGAAATTCGAGGTACTTTTCAGGTACAGGCGATAAAATGTGGCACATTGTTCAGATAGTGCACCAGTTGAGCAGGTAGAAGAAAAATCTGGGCCCACCTGGCTGGTAGCTGTAGTCTGCTTGCCACTTTGGCTTTTTCCAATCCTTGGAAGAAACAAGCAGCCGTGCCCCTTGTGTCAGTAGACCGGAATAAACCACAGGCGAGTTTGACTCCCAAGAACACCTCCCAATGGGCACTGCTTATAAGGAATTGATGTGTGACCCCTATAACTGTTGCGAAGACTTATATGCACTTCTATACAAGATCTAAACCTACAATGCTGCATATGCGTGTTAGCCGTGCCTGAAAAATGTGAAGTACGTAGTTGGGTATAGCACTCTCTGTATATTAAATTGCATCACTTAATTTTGTCGTTCTGAAGGGAAGGCTTCAACCTGCTCCTCCACGGACCTGGCTCCAAGATCAAGCTTCTGCAGAGCTTCAAGGATGACATGCTTTCGGAGTCGTTCTGTGTCACGGTCAATGGGTTCAACCCGGGCCTCACTTTGCAAGAGGTACCACGAAATTTGCGAATTACACTGGTAGTAGTAGCCTGCTCAGTGTGATGAGGCCTTTTAGCTTTGGGACATGATGGACAGAACAGCACACACAAAGACAAGGACAGAGAAAAGGAACATGCAGGACACACAAGCGCTGACTCGCAACTGAATTTTGTGTATAAATTCAGTTGCGAGTCAGCGCTTGTGTGTCCTGCATGTCCCTTTTCTCTGTCCTTGTCTTTGTGTGCGCTGTTCTGTTCATCATGTCATCATACCAACTCGCCCAACTTACAACACTTCTGTAGCTTTGGGACATTGCTCACAATTATCACAGCACTATGTTCTAATTATTTTTTATTTTTTATTAAGTGGAAGAGAGAAAGAAGATAAGTAACGTTTTGGATGACTTAGCAGCCTCACAAGTGGCACTGGCCTCTTCACTTCAGGATCAATGCATACATTTCAACACTTAACGTGCACGTCCACTTTTTTTTACCTCAGATTCTCACCACCATTATTCGCCAAGTTATAGGACAAGACTCGTCGCCAGCGCCCGGCCTGGCGGGACAAGTAGACCACATCGTCGAACACTTCTCCGAAGAAGGTACTAGCTGGTTGCCTTCAGATTTCTTGTGACTAGTGTGATGTATCTGCTTATGCTATAGCAGATGGCGGGACATGTTGGGAAGCGCGCGGTCCCCGCGTGCTGGAAGCGTGCGGTCCCCGCGTGCTGGAAGCGCGCGGTTTGAAAGAGCACGGGTCTCGGTCAGTCGGGAGCCATGATTAAAACGAACGAGTCGAGCGACTAACGGCTGCAACTGTGTCTTACTCGCGATACATCACACTTTTGGCGACGAGGTCAGTGAACGGACACCACAAGGTCGAGTGAACGATGGCTACCCAGGGCAAGCTGGAAGAATTTGGTGGAACAGCGTGGCCGTCTTGGGCAGAGCGACTTGGATTTTACTGCGAAGCAAACGTAGTGCTGGAGCCTACAAAGAAGAGGGCTTTACTGCTGACCCTTTGCGGAGCAAAAACCTACGAAGTTGTACGAGCGCTCGTGGCACCAAAGACTCCTGGTGAGGTCAGTTTCGACGAGCTCATGGCGACATTGAAGAAACACTACGACCCGTGGCCGTCGGAGCTTTTCAGCAGGACGAGGTTTCAGCGAAGAGACCAGCAGGTCGGCGAGTCGATATCGAGCTATGTCGCAGCTTTAAAGAAGCTTTCTGCCGACTGCAATTTCGGAGTTCTGACGGCAACCCCAGCGGCGGTCACAGCTAGCACCAGCAACGCAGGTTCCGCAGGCGAAGCACAATCTCCTGCTCGACAGCCAGAGCTGAACCCAACGTTGCTGCCTTTCGAGGTAATTTTGAGGGATCATTTTGTGTGCGGCCTGCGCGACGAACATTTACAACAGCGACTGTTTGCAGAAGTAAGCCTGACCTTTCAGAAGGCGCACGACATGGCGCTGCGGACAGAGAGCGCCGCTCAGCATCAAAAGGATTTGAAAGCAGAGAAGTTCAAAATTCACGAAATCCAGAAAGAGAAGACAGCACTTAAAAAAAGAGACATTAAGGAAAGGAGAACATCCGAATCGACCAGATGTTACAGGTGCCAGGAACAGCATTCCGCTGCTTCCTGCAGATTCCGTAACGCGCGATGTAACTTCTGTCACAAAACGGGCCACATTGAAAAGACTTGCTTCGCGAGGACAGGACTCAAGAAATACCCCCACTCCACACAATCATCGAAAAAGAAGATCATGCATTTGAAACCAGAGATGATTGCCTTGGAACTTCGGCATATCTATACGAGCTTAATGCTGTGCGAGCATCAAGTACATCACCCAAGTTCATGATCAAGCTAGAAATTGAAAATCGAGTCATGAATTTTGAGGTGGACTCGGGAGCGGCCTGCACCATCATCAACGAGGAAACATATCATCAGATGTAGCCAAAACACCCTCCGAGGCTAGGCCAAGAAGATGTGACCCTACACACCTGGTCAGGGAAGGAGTGGAAGTGCTCGGCACAGCCGATGTCCAGGTACGACACAAGTCCGAGGACTATGTACTACCTGTGTTAGTGACTCGAGGAAGGGGCTGCAACCTGCTAGGAAGGAACTGGTTCAAAGCACTAAGAATCCGAGTGAGCGGAATACACAACGGAAGTGCCAACGACAACGTTGCAAGGGTTCTAAGCACACACAACAAAGTTTTCGACTGCAAGATCACCGGACACAATGGCCCACCTGTGCACCCGGAGTTGAAAGAAGATGCCAAGCCACATTTTCTCAAGGCACGACCGGTGCCGTTCGCGATGCGGACAGCAGTGGAGGCTGAAATTCAGATGCTCCAAAATCGGGGCATCCTCGAACCAACTCAACACTCGGAGTGGGCCACGCCAGTCGTAGTCGTACGGAAGAAAGATGGCACTATCAGATTGTGTGGAGATTACCGTAGCACAGTCAATAAAGAAGCAAGGACACCGGTGTACCCAATGCCTACGATTTCCGAGATACTAGCGAATCTCCAGGGCGGATCAGTGTTTTCAACACTGGATCTCACTCAGGCCTATCAACAACTGAGCCTGACTGTTGAGACTGCAAACGTGTTGACCATCAACACCACGAAGGGACTTTTTAGGGTCAAGAGGATGCCTTTCGGTATTTCAGCAGCTCCGGCGATTTTTCAATGATTTAGGGAGACAGTGCTAGCAGGATTTCTGGAATCGGAATATACTTAGATGACGTAATTATCAGCGGATCAACATCATCGCAACATCTGGAAAGGCTCAATACGGTACTATCACGACTTTCCCAAGCAGGCCTTCGTCTCAAAAGGGAAAAGTGTCGTTTCGCAGTTGATCGAGTGCGGTACCTTGGACACATCATTGATGTGGCAGGCATTCATGCTACAGGCATTCATGCTACCGACGATAAGCTCAAAGCCATCAAGGAGATGCCTGAGTTAACGAATCGCACAACTTTGCAGTCGTTTCTCGGCCTGTTGGCATTCTATGACCGATTTATAGCAAATCGGGCAACCATTGCAAAGGAGCTCTACGCTCTCCTCGAAAAAGACGCTCCCTGGAAATGGGACAAAAGGCACTGGGAAGCTTTTCAACAATTGAAAGAAGCCATTACACTGGAAACGGTGTTAGCACATTATGACGAGAAGAAAGGCTTGGTGGTATCATGCGACGCGTCACCGTATGGCGTTGGAGCGGTTTTAGCGCAGCCAGACAAAGACGGAAACGAAGCTCCCATCATGTTTACCTCGAGAACCTTGGGAGAAGCGGAAAAGAACTATTCGCAATTGGATCAAGAAGGACTGGCGATTGTGTTTGCCATGCAACGTTTCCACCGATATCTTGCCGGACGTCACGTGACGGTATCCACTGACCATCAGCCTTTGCTTGGGATTATGGGTCCGAGAGCTCCAGTGCCAGCGGTTCTGTCACCGCGCATGACACGATGGTGTGTCAAATTAGCTGCATACGACTGCGAACTCGTCTACAGAGCAGGAAAGCACAACCAAAACGCAGACGCGTTGAGCAGACTACCATTAAGAGAAAGTGAAGATGAACCGCGACCACCAGGGGACGTTCTTATGCTGGAAGCACTGACTAAGCCTCCCATGACAGCTAAAAACCTTGCAGACCAGACTGCTGTGGACCCCACGCTTTCTGAAGTTCTACAAGCAGTCAAGAGTGGAGAGGTCAAGAAGCTAGCTGGCGAGCGTTTCACAGCCTACAAGATGAAGTCCGCGGAACTATCAATACACCGAGGTTGCCTAATCTGGGGATCGCGCATCGTAATTCCCACTTCTATGAGACCAGAGGCGTTAGCCTTGGTACATGCAGGACACAGGGGAGTGGGCGCCATGAAGGCTTGCGCCCGAAGTTACCTCCGGTGGCCGGGGATCAACAAGGAGATTGAGTCCTGTGCGGCCAAGTGCAACACGTGTCAGCGACACCAGAAAGTGATACCCAAAGGAAGCAGCCCAACATGGGAAAGACCGTCGACTCCGTGGGACACCCTTCATGTAGACTGCGGGACCGGTGGACGGAAAAGTGTTCCTGGTCATTGTGGATGCGTTCACTAAAAGGCTTGAAGTACGTGCTATTTCGAGTATGACCTCAGCATCCGTTATCTGCGAGTTACGCAACGTTTTTGCGACGTTTGGTGTACCACGAAAGTGGTATCTGATAATGGGTCGGCTTTTGTTTCCAATGAGATAAAGACATTTTACCGCCTAAATGGAGTTTTGCCGGTCACAAGTGTGCCGTACCACCCCGCAACAAACGGTCAAGCGGAACGGATGGTGCAGCAGCTGAAGCAGGCACTTGCTAAAAGAGAAAGGGAGGAATTGAAGTGTTTTCTACCACGGTTCCTCTACAAGCAACATACCACAGTGCTCACGGCGACAGGCAAGACACCAGCGTGAATGATGTTTGGACGAGAGTTGCCATCTCTACTTGAGAGACGGATACGCGTACCCAAGGACAATGCACAAGCGACAACCGAAAATCCACGCCAGTTTATGGTGGGACAATCCGTATGGGTTCTGAAGTTCCCAAGTGGACGAACTTGGATGTCGGGGGTCATCACAGAGCGCTTGGGTTCGCGGTCATGGATAATCCAGACAGAAGACGGACTAGTTCGACGGCACATGGACCACATATGACCAAGGCTATTAGCTGTGCGTCGGTCGAGTGATACACCCTCAGCAGCCTGACCCGATAAGTGCAGAAGGCCACGAACTGTCCGAACCTGTGGCTATGCCCATCCGGGCAGGAACGCGGGAGCGAAGACCGCCCACAAGATACGGGATCACAGCCAAGTGAGGGGAAGATGTGATATATCAGCTTATGCTATAGCAGATGGCGGGACATGTTGGGAAGCGCACGGTCCCCGCGTGCTGGAAGCGCGCGGTTTAAAAGAGCACGGGTCTCGGTCAGTCGGGAGCCATGATTAAAACGAACAAGTCAAGCGACTAACGGCTGCAACTGGGTCTTACTCGCGATACATTTCAACTAGCTTCTCATGTTTGTGAGAAGTTTTAAAGGGTGGCTCTGGTTCAGGAGGGTCCACTTTTATAAACCCCTAGCTTAGAATGAATGACATTACACGTGTAGACTGCTAGTCATAATAAAGCTGAAACTTCATACATTAATTGTCAAACAAATTATGATAGTTTCTCTCGGGGACACACCATTATCGTTTAGTCAATCTACAGGTACAAAAATAGTATAGTCTTCAGCATTTTTCTTTTTCCTAGATACTATAAAGCAGAATATCTAAGCAGTGCTCCTGCAAAAAAGATTTTGCTAAAAGTAATTATCTTTTTATAATAACATTTTTCTTCATTTAAAACAAGTTTTACATCTTCCATGTCCTCGGCCAAGTCTTAATTCCACAGGCTCCTTCCTCATTAAAATTCAGACAGGAAAAACAAAAATGAGCCGTTCCTTTAGTCCTCTTACGAAACAGTAATTGATTAAAATGGAAATTTTATCGAAAAAATGGAATGGGGAAAAAATGCATTTAGTATGTCTAGATTTTTAATAAATAATAATCTAGACATTAATAGACATTATTAATTCCTATATAAACATTATTTATTAAGAAACTTAATAACGTAGACATTTGATATGTCTAGATTACAGTAGGCTCACAATAATTCAAGCTCGGATATTTCATCCATCTGGTTAATTTAAACTAATTTCAAAATTTTGGTTATCCCACTATGTTTTCAATGTATTTGTAAGCCGCTCAATTTGAATGGAGTTTTCGTGTAATTCATACTTTTTGTTCTTGCGGTCCTTTTGAGCACACTTCTTTCCGAGTACTGCTGCACTGTGGAAAAGCAATACCCGCAGAGCTCGCTTCCGCGAGTGTTGCTTCTCTGCAGTGCGCCGGTCCTCCTGTCTGAACTCAATTTTCGCCCCAGATGCTGACGAACTCTACCTGCTGATCAATAACATAGACGGCCCAAACCTGAGGCAGTCCAAGGCCCAGGCGGTGCTTTCCAGGCTGTCGGCGGTTGCGCACATCCACATCGTTGCCTCCGTGGACCATGTGAATGCTTCGCTCTGTGAGTGTGGCCTCTTCAACATGCCTACATCGAAGCAGAATCTTTTATGTTGCTCCCTTTAAAGTGCAGTAGGACCTTGTCGAGAGCAATTATGTTATGAGGAACTGCTCAGCATTTTTTATATATTTCAACCACAAAATATAAAATTGCTGGCCAGATTATAGCTTCAAACCAACTGTACCAATGGCAGATGCATACACAATCGCAGTAAGAAGACTCCTAGAGCAGTGTTTTTTTATTTTTTATTCCATATTCTGTCCTAGGTTTTTATAAATGTGATTTTGCATGCTTTCTTTGTGGTCCTTTTTTTATATGAATCGATGCAAAAATAAATTAAAAATAAAATGAGGCATATTTTGTTTCATAGTGCACGGAGGATCTGCGAAGTTCGAACAAAGCTACAACAAACTCTGATTTACAACAAGAATGACACACCGATCGCCTTCAGTTGAGACAAAAAAACCACAAGACGAATAGAGCACTCGCATGTTGATTTTCACAGGCAGAATCCTGCATCTGTGCTGTGTTGATTAGACATATATATTGCTTGCCATCCAGTGTGCCTCAATCTGACAAAGGCTCACTGTAAAGATTGTGCCATGTAACCGAGCTTTCGTTTGCACGCCAGATGATAGGCAGGTGGTTGAAATTAATCCTCAGTCCTCTGCCAGGACATGCTGGACGCCCCTTGTGGGGTTGGTACGTAAACCCTCAAAATTCACTTGTTTTATTTCAGGAGGGGTTTGATGGAAGCACTAAAAATTTTGTAGTACAAATATTTAATCTGTATTTCTCAAGCTGGCATGGGCCCCTCATGCACTGTGGATGTCAGCTCGCAACTAACACACGAGCCTCAGCTCAACACCGATCCATCTTTATAGCGGGGTCCTTTTTGCCGATGCTACATTTTACTTGCCACATTTTCAGGATGTCTGCAAGGGCAAATGTCGGGTGAACACTAAATGTTTCCCTAGATGGTCCATGCCCCGTGCATAGGCTGCACCTGATGTCCAGTCTGCACACAAATTATATGAGGGGTGCTCATAAAGTTCATATTATTGTCAGAAAGGAACAGAGATTCAGCAATGAAACTTGGGTAGGAGTTCAGTCTTCCTCTACATAGGTATTTGCTACCCAAAGTCACACACTTTTGCTGGTGATGGACAACCTGCTGGAGACTGCTGTTACAAAACTCCTGGTTTTGAGTGTTCAGGAAGTGCTCCACTTTTGTTTGTCGTCCTTGAAAGGCTTTCTATGCTTTAGAGCCTTCGTGCGAGGGAAGAGGAAGAGATCACTAGGTGGGAGATAGAATGAACATGGGGGATGACGCAAAAGTTCGTAACCTAAAGAGAAAAAATGACAACGTTGCTTGTGCCGAGTGATCCGGGGCACTGTCACAAAGCAGACGGGTGCCTTTCATGAGCTTCCCTCTGCTTTGCCTCGATGGCTTCTTGCAACTTTGTCAGAAGCTCACGATAATAGTTTCCTGTGATCGTTTTACTTTTGTGAGCATAATCTGATAAAAGAACACCATGACAGTCCCAAAACACGCTCAGCGCGACCTCTCTCTATGGCGGCATAATCATGGCCTTATTCGGTGAGGGTGAGTTCACATTGCTGCCACTGTTTGCTTTTTAACGTTGTCTCTGGATCATAGTGGTGAACCCAACAGTCATTCATAGTTGTGAACCTAATGCTCACTCATAGTGATAAGGACTTTGAAAAAGCTATCAAGGTCGCTCTCACACAGCTGCAACGTTTCGGCGGCTCTTCTTTCCGGAGGTCTTTTTGCATGGGGGACAGAAGCCGCAAAACACAGTGCGCAGAAGGTTTTGTCATATGCAGGCTGTTGCAAAGTATTTGTGCGCTGATTCCAGACTCACTATAGCGTGCAATGTTTATACGGAGCGCAAGTTCGTCTGCTTCTTGCGCCGGGGTTGCGGTGACGTCAGACCGCCGAGCTTTGATTGGCTCAATTGGAAGGATAGTGGGTAGACCTCAAGGCGGCTAGCATTGAGGTCTATCCACTATTCTTCCAATGGAGCCAATCAGAACTTTGCACTCTTACAACGCCGCAACCCCTGCACAAGAAGCACACGAACTTGCGCTTCGCATGCTGTGCCGAAACTAGAGGCTTGCACGGTCGTTTTGACACCCGCTTTGTTCCCCTTTTTTTTATTTTTGATGCTGATAATCCAAACTTTATTAACACCTCTCGTACACAGCGCATCTCGAGGAATGCTTGCTTTACTAGCTCACAAAAAAGCTTGTATCAAACGTAAATTATCTTTAACATACTCTGTTGTTGACAAAATTCTTCCCTTGTCTCGTCCTAATGAACAACCTCGAAAAAACACATTCTTGTATTGGTCCGCACCTGCGGATAGTCCGCACCGCTTAAAATGTAAAATTTTTATGTACAGTATTCCCTTGTTATAACAAAATTGCTTTTTTCGAATTATTGCTTTTATCAAAGTTCAACCTGACTGATTGCACACATTTTTAACTGGATTATTCGAAGTGTATCGGTAGCCATCCGCTCTTATTATGAAGGCCGAGGTACCGAAAACACGCAAGCCTACATGGAGGTGCACGAAGACCCTTCCGTTCACCCCAACCCCCTCCCCTTTTCCATTGAGGCAAACTGGGAAAACGGAGTAAACGGGTGACTGCGCCGATGCGGGCAGGGAGCAGTGTCGACATTCCGATGCTACTCATGGCGCCCGCGGTCGACGCTGCCCGACTCCTGTCGGAATCGGGTCAAGCCATCAAGGGAGCGATGGAGCCCAGGGGAGATCATCTCTTCAAAAGCCCCCGACGCTCGCGCTTGCCGCGTACTGTGCATAGACGTGCGTCATATGGGAGATTGGGAGTGCTTACCGAAAGTCGCTTAGATCTGCGAGGTTGAGAAAAGCGGCTGGCCCAAGTTTGAAATCGCCTAAGAATTTGACATTCCGGCATCGGCTTTTTGACACTGTCCACCATTTTGCAGAACAAGTGAGGCATATCGGATGGGTTCGAGAAGTTTCTCGTGCAGCAGAAAGCGCACCCGCGACCCGAAGATAAAAGGTCACCAACTGCTTCGCGCGCGTCATATTTTCTCTTGTGAGCATGCTTGCTCAGCCGATGCACGATTTCCCTAGCTGCAACAATCTATACAGGAGTGTATGAAAACATATTGGCAAAGCCACCAAGGATAACTTTGATTCGCTCGCGCTTGTCGATGCGGACGTTCCCGTTGCTTCTGCCATGGTTGCTGTGATCGTAGACCTTGCATGCAGCCAGGGTAAACACGAAGTGATGTCGGAGTGGCGCTTGGGACACGCTGACGACTGGGGAGACGCGAAACATCCTATGGCTGCTTTGAAACAAAGTGAAGTGCAGCAGCGGTGACAGCGCTCTTGCGATGCCAAGGGCAGTTTGAAGAGGACTGATGCCCGGATGAAATTATCGGCAAACTCCACTTAATTATTTTTTTTACTCAGTAAAGCTGCCACAAGATGTCGATAAGTAAGTTTTGTTCCATTAAATATACGATCAGAGTGTTCTGCAGCATTGCCGTCCACCTTCAAGGCTGCTGGCACTTTTTTTTGGCTCTATCCCTTTTATCAAATTACCGCTTATATTATATTGAATTCTTTTGCCGCCCCGTTGATTACTGTATGTGTATAGTCCACAAACTATACACCTTCCGAAAAAACACTCCTAGGCCGCCGCCATGTTGCTGATGCTGATGCGGCTGGTGTGAGTTGTGCCCCCTATCAGCTAGAAATTTTTTGCCACTCTCTTGGACTGTGGAAAACCGCTCAGCACAATTCTCGACCTATGTTTTGCAGTTTTGCATTCAATGTTTTCTGGCCCCTCTTGAAAGTTTCCAGTTTATTTTTCTGATAGATGCTGCATACCTTTTCTGTGTCATCTTCCACTCTGAGAAATAGGGCTGGTAAGGGCTTGCCATTCAAGCGTTTCTGCTTAACGTTCATGAGAAACGGAGGGGAAGGACGTTGAATGGCCCTCGACGCGATTTTACGAACAATGATAATTGTTCTCCCCCCTCCCAGAGATAATCTGTATACCGTAATATCCCGAGTCATCGCCCACCCCCCTACCGCCTGAAATTCATTAAAAAAGTGGGGTGGGCCATGTCTCGGTGGGTGAACACAAACACTTGAAATAAAGCGGAAAAAACCGCCTATTTTTCTCTGCGTATCTAGCGCTGATGCACAAGAGATACATCAAACTCAAAACTTGATTTAGTTTCATTGTTTTATCGAAAAAAAAAGCTCACGAAAGAATATTTTACTATAGCGAAGTCCGTTGCTTGCATACGCGCTAGAAACACCGCCGATCTGCATATAGCGCGAACGTTTGTTCCGTGAAAGAATGTCACCACTATGTTCTCCTAGTTAGTAAAAAAAAAAAAAGAAAAGTCTACAAGAAAATAGAAAAACCGACCAGGCGCAACGAGCGAGCGAGCGAGCGAGCGGACCAAAGGAGCGACCAAGAGCAATGCTGGGAAAGCGGGAAAGCCGGCGGTCGCGTTGGCAAATTTTTTTTCGTCGGGCCAAGTCGGGCGCCTTGTCAATCGCGAGCTCTTGCGCAACTTTCTTGTTTGGCGCGTACATACGTGCGTCCGTGCACGGCGGGCTATCAATGCACGGTTGGGACGCTCTGCAAACGTCTGTGTAGGGCGTTCCAGCGAAGCTTTATTTACGCGTTGGCTTTGCCTAAAATATTGCACAACCGCGGTCGCGACGGGCGGGAAGAAGGAGCGGGTTCGCGGTGACCTTACTTCGGCGGAGACAGACTTTGACCTAACACTCCGCGGTTACATTAACAAACTCTTAATTTGTTATCTCCATCGTTTTCTTTTCGCACGGATACACGACCACTTTGGGGTCGCTCACGGAGGAAATGCGTAAACATAAAGAAGTGTCTTTCCCTCCTTCGTTTTACTTTGTCACGGACGTCCTCCAACTGTAAGGTCCGCGGCCGCGTCATTCGGGTAGGATGAGTGTTCGCGGATCGCAGAGTCCGCGCTGGGGTATTTGAAGGGGTGGGCGATGACTCTGTGTTTTTTCGGAAATTGATATTGGCCCAAAAAATGGGGTGGGCGATGGCTCGGGGATGGGCGATGACTCGGGATATTACGGTAGATTCCTTCTCAGTCATAGCCCAAAATAGTTGTTCGGGTTGGAGTCAGTCGCGCCCGTTCCTTTGCCTTGGTGCTGGTATGAAAATGGGAAGCTCTCCCCAAAATATGCCCCAGAACGAAGTCATTTTGGATTTTGTCCGATTGTCAAGATTTGACTGTCGTCAACTGTGACTGTTTTATTTGAGATCTTTCCCAAATAATTTTTTTTTTTCAGATAATGTTGCATTGTATGGTACATACAATATATTGTTCGAACATTAACACTTGCTAAATTGTATGTCCGTGTCCTGTCCATTGGTAAACACATTATTTGTGAGCGTGAAAAATGCATGCCTCTCGGCTACCTTCTGGTGTAAATTATTTTCGACAGCTAAGCGCTTCATCGTTTGACACGGGGCTAATTAAGCGAAGGCGTCAAAACTTATCGTAAAAAAAAAAGATAAAATGACAAATAACATTCCAGTTGCATTCAAACTGTTGCGCGCGTATTCAACAAAAGTAGTTTACAGTATTCTTTTTTTTTGCTTTTTTGTTTTCTCGAATTTGTACAATGCTTTCTTAATGTCCTCGGAAAAGTACTTGTATTATGAAACACGAAATACAGCGGGAAAAGACGAGAATTTAGCCACCAGCAACGTTTGAAACTGCACCTACGCTGGCTGGGCCTATCGAAATCACAGTCCACTCGGTTAGGGTTAGTAGGGATCAAACCCAGTGACTGGGATCGAAAATGGTTTGTTGCCCCTAGGGTCGAGTGTTTGTTGGAAAGTTGGTACATTGGTTGGCTCGCCTCTTGTTTTACCCTCAAACAGTGTGGGACCAGGAGACTTCCAGAGCTTACCGGTTTGTCTGGATCAACGCCACAACGTTTGAGCCGTATGTGCTGGAGTCTAGCCTGGAGCCCCTCAAGAGCTGCGCCGCCAGCACCCTCGGCTCTCTGCAGCACGTCTTCTGCAGCCTGACGCCCAACGCCCGCAAGATTTTCCTGCTCATTGCGCGGCATCAGCTCGACTCTGCCAGCTCTCCGGGGTACTCGGGTGAGCGTCCCAAAGTGCAGTGTCGTTGCGGGGCTCGGTACAAATCTCTGGTCGTCGTCACAGCATAACACGTCGCGGGGGTTCCGCGGGTTATACCGTCAAATGTCGCGATCCCGCCCGTTGGTTGTAGAAGGGCTGGCAAGGAAGGCGACAAGCAAACGCGACGGTTGCTGTCGTCACGATGTTCCAACCCATAGCTGCTTTAGTTTCCTTCGACCCGCAGGCTGCAGAGTGACTTACCGCAGGACAGGTGTCGGTTGTGTCTACCTCCGCTGACGTACCGCTGCCCAAATCGCGGGAGATGCACTACAGTTGAACCTCGATTTAGCGAAGTCACCGGGACCCCCTAATTATTTCGTTAAATCAAGAACTTTGTAAAGTCGAGAAAGACGTTCTTCGGGATAGGCTGCGCGGGGAATCCGAATTTGTTTGTTAAATCGGAAAACTCGTAAAATCGGGTTTCGTTAAATTGAGGTTCAACTGTAGTTGGAGACTCATTCCAGGCACTCTAATGTTATCGAGGGATCTGTTTCTGGGTAATCGGGGCTCAGGGTGGCCTGGAAAGCAACCACTATTGCGGGTTTCTTAAGCCGAATAACACGTGACGGTGTTTAGCTGTCTGCCTTTACATTTTTGTGCTGGATGGGACGGGAAATCAACAAAACCAGTGTTTATTTGATTTTCTCTAGGCTCTTAGATTTTTTGTTTGCAGCGTGTTGGAGATGTGCAATGGGGGGGGGGGGGGGGGGGTCAACTTACAATTGTGTATTTGCGTGGCAGGTTAGCCCCGTTCATTGCGCTTCTTACCGAGCACTTTTGCACTGCGAGGAAGCAATACCTGCAGAACTCGCGGGTTTTGTGGGTATTGCTTCTCTGCAGTGCATAGGTGCTCGGTAAGAAGCCCACTCCATGAAGCTAACTCGCCGCGATTACGCAAGAATATATGTTGGGCAGCGACGTCTTGACATTCTGCATTCATCATTCGTGCTTGTTGTTCTTTCTTGTCAAATTTGTAATTGAAGGAATAATATTTTCATATAGCAAGCAGATTTATAAATCCCTTCAATTAGGATAAATGAGACAAATTTGTTGTTTACATGACACAGCTCTTAAATGTAGTTATATAATTACTGAGCTTAGAAGTGGACAAGTGGAAGGTTGGGAACAACCTTCACAAGTTCAGCCGAATTTTCGTTTAAGCATGGTGCACGGTAGTGAAAGGCCTAGAGAAACTCTAAAATATTTGATTAAAAATATTCGATCAAAACCACTATTCGATTTGAATTCACTTTAAACACAAAATCCACTATTTGCACATGCCTACTAGTTTGCTAATAGTTTTTCACATCAAACGTTTACATCCGAGGTTAGGGCCTCATACAACCACATTGCACTACACTATATTGTAGAGTTTATCATAGCTTTCCAGCTAATAAAGAAAAATATGAAATAAAAGTTGACCGTCTGTTCATGCTAACTGTGTCAAGTTCTCTAGATTTCATCCCTGCTATGCGTTATTCATAGAACTGCAATTGAATTCAATTAGTTTGGTTGTTCAGTGAACAGGTGAGTTGACTCTTCTGGGGGGTAACCAACAGCTTCTGCCACTATAGCGGCCACCACGTGGCTGTCGAGGAATCAGGTTCAGCAATGTTCTCTGGATGCGTACAGCACATTCAACTCGTAAATTCTTCAGCTCCGAGCTGAGCAGTACAAAAGTAAAAAATAAGGTATCATGTCTGATGTGGGGAAACAAAGTGCTGGCAGGATAGGCCAACACGCTGTTTACAAACAAGTGAGCGTTTGCCCACACCGGGTGTGAGCACTGCAAGTGCGCAGAAACCAAATTCGTCACTGCAGCTGCGGGCCACGGCCCGCATGTTGGTGTATGTGCCGAATCCATAGCCCACACTTTGCAATCTGCTTATCTCTCGTCTGGCAGCAGTGCTGTGTCACACAATCTGTCACTGGTACCTTTGTCTACTTTGAGTGAGAGGAAAACCATGTCTGAGAGTGCCCTGGGCACAGAGTGCTTGTTGTACCTCATGTGCTTTCGTGGAAAAGTATACTGCAGGACATACATACCGTAAAACTCGTAAGAATGCCAACCCAAAATGAAGAGATAAATGGTGAAAATTAAAAGGGGCTATCTTTGGGAATGCCTCAGCAAAACTTTATCAAATATTAATGATAAACACAGGGATACCCACTACAAACCACGTGACGCAGTAACTGATACCGCGCATCGCAGACATGGCAAAGTTGCGTTTCACGGTGCGATAAACATGCAGGAATTTCCTACGGAAAAGGATAATGCAGGTTGCGAACGCAGCAAATTCACTTTTTACAGTGCGAAGGACCCGCGGAAACCCGCTGACAACTTGCATCGCACGGGAGCGAATACCACAGATCGCGGACACAGCAGATTTAAGTTTCATGGTGCAATAAACACGCAGGAACCCGCTAGAAACTTGCATCGTACGGAAACCGATGTTGCGCGCGCAGATCGCAGACAAAAACGCGGAAACCTGCTACAAACTTTCATGTCATGGGAACAAATACTGCAGATTGCGGACACAACGGAATCGCATTTCAGAATGCAATGCACACGCGAAAACAACTTGTGTGTTACGAAAAATCAATATTGCACATGCAGATTGCATACAAAAACGCGGGAATCTGTTACAAACTCGCATGTCGCGTAAAGGGATACTGCAGATCACGGACACAGCAGATTCGCATTTCACGATGCAATATACAGTCAAACTCGCATATATCGAACTCGCAAAAAAAAAAAAAAAAAGGGGGAATTAGTTTTATATATTGCATAATTCAATATAAAAGTTTTAATTAATTTTACTCTGAAAAATCCACTTTGTGCTGACATATTACACAATGAAATAGTCTTGCATCTTCTGATGTTTTTTCTTCATTGCATCCGCGATAACAATATTTTTTACGCTATCGACGGACTCCAAAATGCTGAGGCCGCTGCCTTCTATATTCGCGCATTAGCGCCGAGCTATGCCGAGAGCACGGAGCACGTCCGAGCGGGAGCACCTTCTCCCGCAGAGCGCCGTTTTGCTCTGCAAGTTGACTTTCTCTACGGCAGGCGGCCGCATTAGGAGAAAGCCAGCTAGCAGAGCAAGCTGGCTTTTTTTCTTCCTAACGGCCGCGACAGCCGCCCGGAAAAAAAAATAATATTCTAAGTGGACGGAGCGGGGAAAGGGAGCACGGAGCATCCTCTTTCCGCTCTCTCCGCAAAAGAGATTTTTTTTTTTTCTTCCAAGTGGTTGATGTGGCCGCGCGGGAAAGAATAAAAGCCAATGTGCTCTGCAAGCTGGCTTTCCCATAATGCGGTGGCGTTAGGGGAAAGCCAGCTTGCAGAGCAAAAAGGCGCTCTTGGCAGTTTGATTTATCGGTAGCGGCTGCTATTTTTGTTCGATGTAACCATAGTTTTTGCTATTTATTATCACTGTAACATTACTGTGCACAAATAACTATATTATATATAAGGGTTAATTCGATGTAAACTGGTTTGAGATAGTTTGGTTTGACTGTACACGCAAAAACAACTCATTTGTTGCAGGAGTCAATATCGCGTGCGCAGATCGTGGACAAAAACATAGAAACCCAGACATCTCTTGACGTCCGATGAGAATCGGGGGGTGGGCAATGCTCGGAATTTTTATGTTACAAATATTTAGCCAGAAAAAACGGGATGAACAATCTCTCGGGGGAGGGCGTCCTTACGGAATTTTATGGTAATTTAGCACAAATGCGACATTGGTGCCTTATCAAAATTAACTATATAGGCACTTTCTACTAGACTGGTAGCTTAGACAGCCACCTCGATGGCAACAATGTAAAGTGCTGACCTTCAGATCCTTGGGTGGCAGGCTCGAATCCTGAGCGAGGTGCCCGACGGAAGTGTAACCGAGATTTTCGTTGCGTGTCGAAAGATCCCTAGGTGGTCGAAATTAATCTTCACTTCTCCGCTGGTGTGTACCATATGTCCTTCTTTGGTTTGGTACCTAATATTCCCAATATGACGTTTTTTGGCTGCCTTCTACTTCAGAAAAATCCGAGGTCATGTGTTTGGGCTAGCCTCTAAGCACCCTGTTTCTCTGAAAAGTGCTTTGAAAATATTGTAAAAAACGAGACAGTGATTACACCTAGACCCTTTTGCAATCCTTTGCTTTCTCTCGTTTCTTTATTTTATTATTCTAATGGGGCAGTGTTGTTGCAGGACTGTCCTTTCAGGACTGCTACCACCGGTGCCGGGAGGAATTTCTTGTCAACAGCGACCTGACGTTACGTGCCCAGCTTAGGGAGTTTCTCGACCACCTGCTGCTCAAGATCAAAAAGGTTCGACCCCGATTCTTGTCCGTGTATTAGTCACCACATTGTTTGAGGAGTGGGGGACAATGTTACTAGTTCGATCACGTTGCTGTATTCTCAATGATTTCACCTGTGCCATCCTGATACAAAAGTAAAAATAAGGGCAAAGTTACACCAAGGGCCTCCCACACACATGCATCTTGGGTGTAGTGTACAGTCCAGTGTTGCAGAATGGGCACTCCCTTTTTATTCAAATTCCATTCCACGGAATTGGAGATTCCGACAATTTCATTCCTTTCAATTCCTCGGAATGGAGACACTGGGCCCATTTCCTCTCCTGGAATTACTGAACTTCACCATTCCATTCCTCTAATTCATGAAGGTGAAAAAATAGCCATTGACAGTCCCACATTGTGTTACTTAAGAAAAACAGCATAAAGGTGCTAACATTACCGAACGCGGAGACGACTGCGAAAGTATGCAAAAGCATCCTCAAAGCACTCATTCTGCTAAGCTGAAGGGTGGTCGCACAAAGCGCTTCATGGCTACGTCTTGTCACTGCAGACATTGATTGTGCGATCAAGCGTAAAAGGCTTGCGAGTCCGAACAGACGCCAAAAATTAAAACTAGCCATTTTCATTGCAAACGGATCGCTTACATTCTCCGCAGATACATGGTTTGCATGTTATTTGTTTGATAAGGCCTTAAAAATCTGAAGTTCATGCATGATGCAAGAATAAGCCATCTTGCTTTCTTCGAATATTTTGCTGCAGCACCGCTAGTGTGCTGTTAGAAGCGAGGCCGCGCATACCTGTGCTAAATCTGCATGCACTGCGGCAAAAACAGAAAGCCACCGACAAAGTTCAATCGGTATACAGCGCCAGCACAAGGGACTGTAACACCATATTATGGAACCTGCATTAAAAGTAAACTTTTATGTTTTAATTACATTCAATTAATTTTTCCTATTTGTTTCGTGCAAACACTAGACCAGGGGTGGCCAAGCTGCGGCTCGCGTGTTAAAGTGCGGCTTGCAACTCCCTTCCCTACGCCTCTACCCCCCCCCCCCCCCCCCCCCCCCGTCCCCGCCCACTTCCCCGCCTCCCTCCCGGTTACAGGAGCACTTCCCTAAAAAGAGAAATGAAATGAGTTTCAAATCGAAAGGCAGGTTGCAGTTTGGTAGTCTTGTGCTACCTTATGTACAGTTGGACTGCCTTTGACTTGGATAGTTTGAAGGTAGTTAGAATTTCGTTCATTGCCGTAAACAAAAGTTTGCCCCCCCCCCTTTCCCGCGGCTCTTGGAAGTTGGCCACTCTTGCACTAGACGATCGGCTGGGTTAAAAGCAGGGAGTTGAACTGTTCATTATTCCGGTTAGGTTTGGGTTGGTTTTGGGTTGCTTTGCATTTTGTTCCGGTTCGGTTCTGGTTCAGGGATGCTTTTGAAATAAGGGTTCGGTTACCGATTCCACCAAGCGCAAAGCAGTACGAAGCGGTTCTTGAAAGAAAAGTTCACAGCTCCCAGTCGTTGAGAAAAAAAGGTGAGTTTAACACTGCATCACCTTCATTAACATAAATTAGGTCATCAGAAACCGGTCTGCAAAAATGAGGAGAGCAAAACAAATATATGGTTAATTTCATTTTGTGATCTTTAATTTTTAACTTAAACACCATTCTATAAAAATTATGTGGTTATACAGGCGCTTGGAAACAGTACCAAAGTACAGTACTCGCATATGAAGTCAATCAGACAGCACGCACAGGGACGATAGCATGCACCATAATCGCAAGCTACCCACAAAAAGGAATTAGTCGTCAGTTGTTCAGATAGGAGTTTAGTCTGCCAGAATATGGCGACGTTGTACCCACTCTACATACTCATCCAGAGCTCATCCAAATTGAAATGGCCAACTATACCTAACTACCGTATTTACTCGCATAATGAACACACTTTTTTCTCCGAGAAATTGACACATATTTGGGGGGGGGGAGGCATTCATTACACAGGGTAAAATTTTTGCATTTACACACTTTGTGCAAATGTCATATTAGGTGCCAATATGACACGGCAAGGTACTGTGGCACGTCTCCAGTGATGGAGGCGTAGCCACGGCTGGTTAGGGGCACGAGGGCATGCGGCTCGCGAGCCGCATGCGGCTCTTTGCTGGCCACGGTGCAGCTCGCACCGTGGCCAGCAGTTTTTGAGGCCCTCCACTCGCTCTCCCACCCGGGTACACGAGCGTCATAACGTCTACCGTAAAATCCTGAATTAACGCCCCCCTTTTTGCCGTAGATAATTGGCAAAAAAAGTGGGGTGGGCGATCTTTCAGTATTGACTAACCAAAATCACAAACAAAAATCGAGTAACGCGTGCGCCAAAGCAGCGTGGGTTTTTATTTCCCTAGCTCTCATCGCTGAAACCGTCAAACGACACATCGCTTTCGCTATCGAAGATTAAATCTAACACCTCGTCAATGAGGCTCTCGGGATCCTCGGGTCCATTGGTAACCGAAGCCAAACGGTCGTTGAGCTCGCCGTCCTCGGAACCATCGAGCCTTGTGGATATTCCGCACCGTTTGAACGAACTCCGCACGGTATCCTCGGAGACGGAGGCCCACGCCTGAGCCACGAAGTCCACAACCTCTTGACGCGACGGCTTGCGAAGGTTGCCCTTTGGAGTCACCGAACCTTTCCGGAAGAACGATGCCCAAATTCCACGCAGCGCGTCCTTGAAGGGCTTCATCCATGAGACGTCCGCGGGTTGCAAAATGGACGTGCAACCGCCCGGTATCAAGACGACGTCGGTGTCTTTTGCGTCGAGCGCTTCTCGGGCCGCCTCTGTCTTGTGTATGGGTGCTTGGTCCAGTATGAGCAGTCTCCTCACGTCGTCGGCGTTCGGGCCCCAAACTCTCCTAGTCCACTCCAGTAGGACGGGAGAGGTCATCCAACCGTTCTTGGAAGAAGTAACTCGCACATTTGCTGCAAGTACAACAAGTATAACATGAAATAACAGTTCGGGCCCCAAACGCACATTACACATGCTACGCCGATGAATGAAGATATGCGAACTGCCCGATTTTCTGGCCAAGCCGCCGAGCGCCGAAGCACGTGCAAGTGAGTAAGCTTCGGAAAGCCAGTAAGTCACGCGCGAACTGCTCGTGCGCTCAAGATGGCGCCGGCCACAACGGCTACGCCATCTTTCGGAAATGGGGCGATACGAAACAAAACGGGCTGTGGCGTTTTGTCAATGGATGACGTCGTCGATTTCTTCGCTAAAAACGGGCCGTCCCCTACCTATTGCTCTCTTCAACTTGTTCGTTCCATGGCATTGTTGTAGAAGTACTTGGTAGCTCGTATTCCATTCCCGTACACGCTTCCGGTCAACTTCGAAATGGCGCGCAGTCTTACTCACGTTAGCTCCGTTCTTGCGGTGCCATTCCACGACTTCCACTTTCTTCTGGATGGTATAGCTGGACCTCATCCCGAGTATACACAAGAAACGTCTTCACAGTTCGCTGGTCGAAAGATTTTCTGGGGTTCTCGGGCGATCTGACGACAACCACTAAGCGACCTTCAACGCTTTCCTGATGTCATTCAATAAGTGACCTTGACCGCTTTCCGGGTTCCTTCCGTTATCTTATCTCCCTTATTGTGTGTGGCCTCTTCTTTTTGTGAAGGGAATCCTAGGCTTTCCAAACCTTCTCCCCTACCCTCCGGCACCTTTCTCAACCTTCGGGCATCGCTATTTTTGGAAGGTGGGCGACCTATCAGTATTCGAGGGAAACACGTGTTCGAACATAAAAGCGGAGTGGGCGATCTATCGACTGTGGGCGCTATTTCAGGATTTTACGGTAGTCTCTTGCTACGTCTGGCCGAGGATGAAAACCAATATTGCGTACTTCATATGAATGTGTCAACACTGTCAACGAGCCAAGATCCACTGCCACACTGTCATACCCAGAGGCACCTTCCAGCTACCCGACGCTCGATTCAGCAACATCCTCCTCAACATCGTCGGACCATTGCCTCCATCTCAAGACTACCATTACATCCTCACATGCGTAGACCGCTTCACCCGCTGGCCAGAGGCAATGCCCATGAAGGATATGACTGCAGAAACATTTGCACAGACCTTCATCTCCGTGTGGATCAGCTGTTTCGAAGTACCAACAACAGTAACAACAGATTGAGTGACAATTTAAAAGTCATTTATTTCGCAAGTTGTCAAGCCTACTCGATATATGCCACATAAAAACAACGGCATACCACCTTGCATCCAATGGTCTCGTGGAGCAATTCCACCGACAAATGAAAGCTGCCATTCGAGCGGACAACTCATCAAGCTCGTGGATTGAAGTCCTACCACCAGTGCTGTTGGGCATCTGCACCTCTTTGCGTGACAAACTGAGATGCGGTGCCGCTGAATTGGTGTATGGGCTCTACCCTTCAATTACCTGGCGAATTGTTTCACAGTACCAATAAAGCAAGCGACGCAAACTGCGAGAGCTACATGAAGTGATCAAGGTCCCGTCTACAAAATCTGCAACCAACCGTACCCAAAATACAATCATGCAAGGTCTTCATGTGCTGTGGCCTTGAACATTGTAGAATTATGTTTGTGCGAAACGACACGGTCAGACGTCCACTCAGTGCCCATATGATGGACCTTATGTGGTACTTGAACGTCATCAAAAAACATTCTCCCTGGCCATTAAAGATTGCAAGGGAGTGGTATCGTTAGGTCGTATCAAACCATCACGTCTATCCAACACCACCTTAAAAGAAATTTCAGAAAATGCTTTGCTACAACACCGCCAACACCGCTCATCTCACCGAGCTCCTCGGTGAGAGGAACCTTGTAGCGACTGGCAACAAGGTGCCGAGGAAAAAGACAAGCTGGCGCATGACCTTCAACTCGTGGATCTTGTTACTGGTTCGACGAACTCCAGCATCCGCCGGCACAGCTACAAACACCCAAGATTTTGAATTGGGAGTAGTTGAAGGATCGTAACCCTTTCAAAGTAATGTTA